CACAGGGGGAGCACCACTCAGACAGAAGCTGGGCTCATGGCTGGCGAGCGCAGCAGCGGGGTGGGAGCCTCTCCCGCCTCTGCAGCAGCGCTAAGGATGTCCAACTGCCTGACTGTGAGAGGGCACAGACTGGGCTGAGGGGAGCCCCCAACTTGAAGTGCACGAATTTTGTGCACCAGGCCTCTAGTGTTGAATAAGAGTGGTGAAAGGGGACATCCCTCTCTTGTTCCTATTCTTAGGCGAAATGGTTTTAGTTTTTGCCCATTGAGTATGATGTTCACTGTAGGTTTGTCATATATGGCCTTTATCATGTTGAGGTATACTCTCTCTATTCCCACTTTGCTGAGAGTTTTATCAAGAATGTGTGTTGGATCTTGTCAAATGCTTTTTCTGCATCTATTGATATGATCATGTGATTTTTGTCCTTCAGTTTGTTTATGTGATGTATCACGTTTATTGATTTGCAAATACTGTACCAGCATTTCGTCCCTGGGATAAATCCCACCTGGCCATGTTGTATGATCTTTTTAATATACTGCTGGTTGCGATTTGCTAATATTTTGTTGAGGATATTAGCATCTATGTTTATCAGGGATATTGGCCTGGAATTCTCTTTTTTTGTAGTGTCTTTATCAGGTTTTGGAATTAGGGTAACGCTGGCCTCATAAAAAGAGCTTGGAAGTGTTCCTTCCTCTTAGATTTTTTGGAATAGTTTGAAGAGTATAGGTGTTAGTTCTTCTTTGATGTTTGGTAAAACTCCCCCTGTGAAGCTGTCCGGACCTGTGCTTTTGTTTGTTGGGAGTTGTTTTTTTTTTATCGCTGCTTCCATTTTATCAGTTGAATACTAGTACCCTTACCATGCAATTTGAGTCTTTATCTGTCACTGATTAATGTCATAGTATTGTGTCTCTGGGGAAATAGCACACGTAAGAGTCTTTCATAATTGATTAATTGTATAAATGATTGTTTTCAAATGCACTGAAGTTCAGTTTGTTAAAAATTTCTAAATTGTATTAATCCCTACCTTCTATGAAAAATTGTTAAAGATAACATGAGAAAACCCTTAGCAAAGTGGCATGCACACAGTAAGGCCTCTTTTTTTCCCCTTTTCTATGCACATTTTGATTTCCTTTTAAATTCATAGAATGGCCTCAGACTTAGAAATCTCATTTTTATAAGAAGCACAGAGATTCTTTGAAAGAATCTATAACTGATTATCTTGTCTAAGATAATTGATTTGTTCTCTTTCATAATAAAACCCTAAGGGGAAAGTGTAGTCTTTTGATAAATACACAGCATAATACTTGCACTATCATATAAACTCTTTAGCTTCTAGGAGACATCATAGCTATTGTCATGTATTGGAGTAACTTTTGGAGTAGAAGATCATTATTTAAGGAATATTGAAATATTTCAGGTTGAACTTTGGTTTGGTCATTCTATGTTAATACCTTAATTTCTAATTTCATCTAATTCTTGAATCTGAGTGCCTCATACATATCAAACTGAATATTTATTAAAAGTTTATAGGTTCACAGGATTGAAGTCATTACAGGTAAGCCCTTTTCTTACACCAGAATGTTTGTAATCTAAATGCCAAGATGAATATATTTACAAAAACTGGTAATATACGAGTAGTAACTAAAGTGAGACTGAGGGCTTTGATTAAAGATATCCAGCTTTTAATTTTTCAAATTTGAATATTAAGTGTAAAATGGAATGTGCTATTTTTTAAGGAGTGTTGGAGAACCCCAATCTCATAAAGCATGACTATGAGTAGCTAGACTCCAAAGGAAATGACTCAGCAAGCAGCCAGGCCACAGTTCAGTAGGTGCGAGTGAGTGTAGACCAGGAGACTGACCCCTCCCCGCCCTCCTCATGGGTTGGAGCAGGAGTTTTCCACTCACAACAAACAGCAGGTGTTATTCGTTCCCATTTTAATCTTAATTACTTGACACTAGACATTAACTGATAATGTACATCAGTAAAATACTAGACTCAAGGGAGAAACATTTCTATTAAGTATCACTTTTAGTAAGATATGACTTATAAAATACAAGAGACTTGTGTTGAGCAGAACCTACAACAGCTAATGCCACGAATCCCAGTAGTGCTCTGAGTCTGTGGCCTTGCCAACTCCCCACTATAAATCCTTTCAGGGATTACCCCCTCAGTCAAAATGATTTCCCCAGTCCAGTTGTCTTTACTCAACTACTTGCTCATTTAAAAAAAACTGTTAGGCCCTAGCCTATTTGACTCAGTGGATAGAGCGTCAGCCTGTGGACTAAAGGGTCCTGGGTTCCATTCTGGTCAAGGGCACATGCTTAGTTAAGGAATATTGAAATATTTCAGGTTGAACTTTGGTTTGGTCATTCTATGTTAATACCTTAATTTCTAATTTCATCTAATTAGATGTGCTCGATTCCCCAGGAGGGGGTGTGCAGAAGGCAGCCGATAATGATTCTCTCTCATCATTGATGTTTCTATCTCTCCCTCTCCCTTCCTCTCTGAAATCAATAAGAATATATTTAAAAAAAAAAAAGATTGTTAGTTTTATGCCCAATTTCATGTTTTCAGGGAACTAAACTGGATCCTGTTGACAATGTGGTGTGTTTTTATATCTTTCTAAGCTATTCTGCAAACTAAAATTCATTTTGGGAATACCACCTTTCCTAGGACACTGGACTAATTTAAAACAACCTCAGTTTTTGAGTTTTCATTAACTGTGAGTTAAGGGGAAAGAACCCCAGAGGTGCATTCCATTTAATTTAGATTTTTTTTTTTTTTATATTTTTATTGATTTTTTACAGAGAGGAAGGGAGAGAGATAGAGAGTTAGAAACATCGATGAGAGAGAAACATCGATCAGCTGCCTCTTGCACATCTCCTACTGGGGATGTGCCCGCAACCCAAGTACATGCCCTAGACCGGAATCGAACCCGGGACCTTTCAGTCCGCAGGCCGACGCTCTATCCACTGAGCCAAACCGGTTTCGGCAGATTTTTTTTAAAAATGGTCTGTGGAGCTTAAAAAGCATTTTATATTTATGTAAGTTATACTCCAAAAGAGGCTGTCCTTGATACTAACGTTGAAAAGATAAGAGAGGTAGATAAGTTGTGTGTAATGTTACTCTAGATAGGAGCCAGTACTCTTCTGCCATAAGGCATGTTGGAGCCAAAAGCAAATAGGGGGGGAAAAAGGGTGGGGTAGAAATCTCATCAGCAGAAGTTGGTGTGAAGAAATTGTGTTAATCCTCACCAGAGGATATTTTTCCCATTGATTTTTAGAAAGAGTGGAAGGGTAGGGGGTAGGGAGGAGAGACACATCGATTAGCTGCCTCCTGCATGCACCCTGACCAGGAATTGAACCCATGACCCTTTGGTGTGTGGGCCAAAGCTCTAGCCACTTAACAACACTAGCTAGGGCAAGAAAATGGTTTTTAAAAACGATCTTATTTTGGCTGTTTGTCTTATGCTTTGGGGGACATCAGTACTTGATACTGCTTTTATATTTGTTTTTGTTTCTTAAAAATCCTCTGAATTGTACACACAAAATCTGAACAGCATTTCTCTTAGTTTAGATTAATTGTGGCCTCTGTATTCTGGTTCTTAATAGCCCCCCTATTCTGAAGGATGACAAAACAGATTAGTTCTGAGAATGATTTATATGTTGACTCTTTACAGATTAGATGTCTGTGGGAAGGCTGTGTGTATTTTTTTTTTTAAATATATTTTATTGATTTTTTACAGAGAGGAAAGGAGAGGGACAGAGAGTTAGAAACATCAATGAGAGAGAAACATCGATCAGCCGCCTCCTGCACACCCGCCACTGGGGATGTGCCCGCAACCAAGGTACACGCCCCTGACCGGAATCGAACCTGGGACCCTTCAGTCCTCAGGCCAACGCTCTATCCACTGAGCCAAACTGGTCAGGGCAGGCTGTGTGTATTTTTAAAGCAAGTAGTCTATAAAATTTTCATAAAATTTAAAGTTTATCATATACAAGGAAGAATATTACAGAACAGTTCTTATTTGTTTGTTTTTGGGCTCCAGTAGATGTTGATCTCTTGTCTTTTGGAGATATGATCGTTTCAGGATTACTTTAATTTTTGACTTCTAAAAATCCACATTTAAACTTATACATTTTCTATAATTGCTTTGTTTGAACTATAACCATCAATAGTAAGTAGCTCACATAGACAAATGCAGAATCTACATAATCAAAGTTAGAAAAATAGCATAGATATAAAGTATAGGTGATCTGACACTGTTGCTCAAATCATTTTGCTGTGGGTGGCTCAGTTGGTTAGAGCGCCATCCCGATACACCAAATCATTTTGCTAACGGCTTTCTCTTACTTGGGCATATTGATATTCCAGATTGATGAGTGCTTTGTCCTTAATTCCCAGTAGATCGAAAAGCAGAAGGATAAAATTCACCTGTAAGAGGGGAGATATAGAAGATTCTTTTTTTCTTTAATCTTTAATTTCTTTATTGGTTAAGGTATTACAAATGTGTCCTCATCCCCCCACTCATGCTCTCATCCCCCTGTTGTCTGTGTCCATTGGTTTGGCTTATATGCATGCATACAAGTCCTTTAGTTGATCTCTTCCCCTTGCCCCCACCCTCCCTTATTTTCCCTCTGGGGATTGATGTTTTTTTAACATTGCAGTTGTTGTTCAATACTCAGTAATTTTCTCTTGCAATTAATTTTGGGTAGAAGATAGTTTGAAGAGAATAAGATGGTCAAACATGCCTTATAATTGATCTTAATTCATACTGTCTTGTTACCCTGTCCCAGTTTTTATTATTTTAGAGTAAATATTCATGGGATTTGAAGATGACCTTACTTGAATGATAACAGTTAAAAATATATTTCTAAGTATTTAATACTTTTGGCCCTCTGATGTCTAGAATTTTAGGTGGGGAAATGTTCTCTACTAAAGTAACCACTAGTTCTTGAGTAAACAATATTATAACTTTTGTTTAGTAGCACGAAAGATTCTAGTATCCAAAATTTTATTTTCTGTTTAAAACAAATCATCACCCTCACAGGTGAATATGTTATCTTAGGTATGTTACTATGAAAGACGGGGCAGAGACGAGTCTTTCTGCGCAGGTTCTGTGTTTCTCTCCTCTCTGTTCCACTTCATCCAGCTGTCATCCTCCAGGAGCCCTCACCTCTGGTGCCCATGGTGGCGTGTCCATCCTCTGTCCTGAAAACACTGCTTCTGACTGGTTCCTTCCTCTGAATTCAGTCTCAGTTACCACTAGTCTTCCGTCTTTCTCGACACTGTTTTGAACAAGAATATTTTAATTCTACATTTGATATTTCTGTATTCTACCCAGACTAGAATTCTGTTACTACCACAATCTGCAGTTTCCTTAGTTTTTTTTAAGAAGTTGTTTTTAAGAAATTATGTTGTTTATTAAAAACAAAAAGTTATTAAGAATATAGTTGAGGAAGCATATTAAATAAATATTTGACTTGCTGATTATTACTCTGTATATATTTCCCAAAACTTCAATAGATGGATTAATTTCTATCTACTTATAATTTAATCTATTTGTTGTATAGAGCTGTTCAACAGAATTTCTTGACCTACTCTATGAAAGATAGGTAGAAATCAGAATTAAATTAGCCTATTGCATCAACAAAGAGCCACAGTGATTTTTTTCAAAATTTAATCTTAATCCTTTATTGTAGGTTGATGAGAGCAAATGCATGTAACCGCTAACTTATTTATATAATCTTTCAAAGAATATATATTTAATCAGAGCATTGATACTATTCCTTATAGATGTTTTTACCTTTGTTTAACCTCATGTACTTTTTAGAAATTTCATCATCCATTCCTCCCCTTGTAGGTATAAGAAAGTGGTAATTGAAGCGTTGCAAGCCAAACATATTTCCCTATTCACTCATATTCTAAATAAAACTAATAAAGTTTTATTTTCTCCTCTCTCTAAAATCAATATGCATAAACTTGGGTGAGGATTTTAAAAAATGCAAAAGGCTTACAGGCCAGGAAGACCTAATTGTATAAAATGGGAAGAAATTGACAGTTCAAAAGAAATCTGAATTTTATTCTCAGCCCTAAAAGACTTCCATTTGGAGCTGCAGAGCAGTGCACATTAAATTTTTTATACCCAAGTGATTACTTAGTTACCATGTAGTTACTGAATAGGTTCAATTATATTGACTTTTTTTTCGTTTCAGTTTCTTTTGATGCATTTTGCCCATATTGTTACAATATGTCTAGTAATTTGGTGTATTCTATCATACACAGAAATACTGACATTGAATTGCACAAGCCAAGATCCTGGGGAAGGGCTAATGTATTACTTATCTGATTTTGTTGTCAAATACAACTAGTAATTAATTTATCATTTTTAAGAGTATTAAAATGTTTCCTAGTTTAAATAAAACCAAACATGAATTAGCGAAAGCATTGTTGGAATATGTAATGCTTGTGCATATTATCTAGCTCAGTGGTTTTCAACCTTCTGGCCCTTTAAATAGTTCTTCATGTTGTGACCCAACCATAAAATTATTTTCGTTGCTACTTCATAACTGTAATGTTGCTACTGTTATGAATCGTAAATATCTGATATGCAGGATGGTCTTAGGCGACCCCTGTGAAAGGATCATTCAACCGCCAATGGGGTCGAGACCCACAGGTTGAGAACCACTGATCTAGAGATTCAGAAGAATGAATGGCAACAAGAAACACCTGAGAACCACTTTCAGGCTGACCTTACATAACCCTCCTCTATGGACATTCTGTGACAAATGGGCAGTTCCTTTACTTCCTTAGCAAGCCTGTGACAGCCGCCCTTCTCTCCTCCTTGCAGGACAGAGGTCAGGTCAAGGCAGCCCCTTCGGGATGACCTTCCTTTCCTTGAGAAACCCCCAAGCAGGCAGCTTTCCCTACCAAACCTGTCTCCAGAAGAACCTCCACTGAAGACGCCCCTGGCAAATGAGGAAGCGCTGCAGAAGATCTGTGCTCTTGAAAATGAACTCGCTGCTCTCCGAGCGCAGATTGCCAAAATTGTGACCCTGCAAGAACAGCAAAATCTCCCTGCAGGTCTGTAAGTCCTACATTTGTTTTAACCAGCGAACTGGGAATCAGAAGCACGTCACTATAATTTTAGAATTTATTGGCAAATAACAGCTATAAGTGGGAGTTATTCCTCTGCATAGTCCAGGCCCCAATCAGGCTTAAGTGGTTTTGTTTGTTTTGAACAATCTTGATGCCATCAGAGAGGATAAGTGGGTATATTTGGAAAACACTGAAATTCCTGCACTTGAATTACTACCTAGGTGAATGCTATGGGGAACTTAATGGCACTAATCCTCTCAGACATGAGGCCATCTCAGCCCCGACAGGGTTGAGTGCTATTTACTTACCTAGAAGTCCCGAGGCAAGGACTTTGCCTTTCTACTTCCCCTTCCTGGGACCAACAGTAGCTACGTTAGAGTTATCATGGGAGAAAACATGGAAATGATTATAAAATGCCTTTAGCACATAGTAGCTACTTAATAGTCATTTTCTCTTGCCCAGAGTAGAAACTGAATTCAGGTCCTCTGACTCCTAGTCTAATACTGTTGCTTTTATTTGTGTGGCATTATCACTTTGAATAAGAAACCATAAACTTGAAATCCTAGTCCATTAACCTGTTGGCAAGTAGTGGTTGTTTTCCCCAGTGTTGTCCCGAGTCCTGGCTAGATTGAGGATTAAGCAACTCTGTCTAAAGGATAAGGACAGTACAGTTACTCTACCTCTGAGCCACTTGGCTTGTGCTCCTGGAGTTTAATGTAATCCAACCTTGTAAGGCCAAGGTGGACAGAGGGCAAATGCACTCAGAGGAGTAATCGTGTTAAATGGAAAACCAAACATCCTGCCCCTTTCTTCCAGCTTTAAGTTGCAGCTCTCTTTTGCTTTACCTCCCTCTCCTGGCAGACTAGGTAAAGTGCCATAAGTAGTGAAATAATTTGGGGATTTGTTTGGTGGTCTGTTTATAATAAAAATCCTTGAGTGAAACTTTTTTACATCCCCTAATCAATGTAGTTCACCCCAAAGAAAACTCTCTAACCTCTAATTGTGCAGAAAGATGAGTTTTTAGGTCATTGTTATATAATCACTTTAACTCTTACCTTAGTTAACTTTTGGTAATTAAGTGTGTAACACTTCCTTTTTCTTCCAGTTAATCTAAATCCTTTCAAACACATTCTAGTCAATGGAGGTGTATAATGCTTAGAATACTGTATATATGAATAGTATACTTAAAATGAACCACAAATTTATCCAATAGTTTTTTAAAAGTTGTTATAGTCCTAAATTATCTAACTGAATATAATGAAGATAATTATTTATGCTGCACAGACTACTTTATATTTCATCTCAAAGGAGTTACAGACTGTGCCAGTCAGGCTTGACCATTTGATATCACAAAAACACTCCTGTTAAGTTAAATGGAACTTTTCCATTTGGAGAGTTTGGGATTAAATGATACAGTGACTGATTTAGATTTTAACCAAGTAACTGAAACTTCCTTTTTACTCCCATAACTAAGATTCTTTTTATGGATATTGTTTTCAGGCATATAAAAGTCCTTAACATGATTTAAAAATTTTATTTGCCTGTTACCATTAGGATTAAAATTAATATTTCCTTATTTCTGTGGGTGATTTAGATTCTAGCACATCTGTTACCACAGCACCACCTTCTGTCCCGCCACCTCCCCCTCCGCCACCTCCCCCTCCGCCAGCGCCCCAGCAGAACACATCTGCTGTCGATCTGATCAGAGAGCGGAGAGAGAAGAAAGCGGGTGCTGGAAAGACATTGGATAAGCACAGCCCAAAGAAACCTGCCATGCCAAACATGCTAGAGATCCTTAAAGACATGAACAGTGTAAAACTTCGGTCAGTGAAAAGGTGAGGACACATTTACCTTCTTTCTCGCTTCCTTCACTTTAATGTCTCGTTCAAGTACTGGGCTTCTTGAGAATTTTGCTTTATGATTACTATGAATAGTTCAAATTTTTATTTTACAAAAGATGGGCCCTTGTGGCTCCTATGCACAGTTAACTAAGAAATTAGCAAAATGAACATTTCCAGGTTACTTTTTCATTTTTCCCCCTTTCATTTAGTAAAGTCTTCATTGTCAGCCATTCACTCAGTAAAGCCATGTTGTGTACCCACTATGGTAGTCACTAGGCTTCTGGAATAGGATGTAGCCATACCTTGCCCTGAAAGAACATAATCAGTGCTCTTGAGATGAATTGAGTGGCTATTAATTGGGCCTGAAATCTCAGGTTACACCTCACTGCTAGCAGTGTCTTCACTGAGTGTCTTTGGTGCTAGAGAAGTGCTGTCAGCATACTGACATGTCCCCTTGGATTCTGCTCACTTCTCTAAGGTCAGAACAAGATACAAAGCCCAAAACTGTGGATGCTACTGACCCTGCTGCCCTTATAGCAGAGGCTCTGAAAAAGAAATTTGCTTACCGGTACCGAAGTGATAGCCAAGATGAGGCTGAAAAAGGAGTTCCAAAGTCTGCGTCAGAGGCCACTTCAGAAACAGTGTTGGTGAGTATCAGGTCAGGCTTCTTTCCTGGTACAACGTAGGTAGTAGTTCGAGCCATTGCTGAGCACCTACATTTTACAAGCTAGTGAGCCATGGACTTAATCTTTACATACAAGCAGATTACTTACAGAAAAGCATAAAGGAGGAGTAAAAGTTACCCCCTGGTTTCACTGCTAACATCTCCAATGGTAAATTTCTCATGCTGCGTTTAATTCTACTTAAGCATCATGAAGTCAAATTTATTAAATAAAATTGATATCTTTGGACTATGTGTTGTGATATATAGAAATTCAAAGTAAAGAAAGATCATTTTCTCTTAGGGCGGGTGCCCTGTGAAAGTCTACTGAAGAGGCTGAGTTGACCTGGGCCTTGCAGGATGTGTCATAGGTGGAGAAAGGCTCCCATAAAATCTGCTCAATTCTTACTCTGTACATTCCTTTTATTCAAGTTACTGTCCTGGGGGACACCTGCTTACCTGGTCCAGAGAGACAGGTATCTTAGAAATTCTAGCATCTTTGAAAGTCTTCATAGACATTGAAAAGAAAACATTGTGGTACTTTCTTCTTTTACTCACAGAAGTAGAATTGGACTGAGCTAGAGCTTGCTGATTGTACTTTTCTAGGAAGCAATTTGGTCAGCTCTTTGCCTTTCATTCTGTTGATGTTTTTAACAACCTGTCAATTCATAAAAGTTTTAATATCTGACTGCTTGGCTTTTTTTTTTTTCATTTAGAACATACCAGCCCTTTGATTTATATTTGGGAAGGGGTATATCATTATTTTTATATGAACCAATATATTTATTTATACTTTGTTTGTTTTCCAGTTTGGGCCACACATGTTGAAGTCTACAGGAAAAATGAAGGCTTTAATTGAAAATGTTTCAAATTCCTGAGAAACCTGGTTCAGCTGTTGGTTTGTTAGGCCCATTTGGCTAATAGAAATCAACACTGTTTAGTAAATACCTGAATTTAACATTCAGTAGTCTCCTTTTAACTCTACCTAGAGGATTAAGCACTAGCAAAGGCACTCTATCAGGCCAGTTCTGAAGTTTTCCAGAACATACTTATATTCTGATGTAATATGTTTTTAGTGAATAGTCAGGATGTTTAGGCTTCCAGTTTTGAAAACATTATATGGATTTCAGAATGAAGAAAGGACATTTGTAGATGGACGTTTTCAACTCTTAACACTAATTATCTGTACAAATGTCCCATATGCATATATTTGGATATAGGCAGTCTATGTAAAATTATATAATGAGGGTGCTGCTATTTGTTTTCTTTGACCATTTTACTAGTCATTGACAGAAGAGCTGGCGTGACAGTCTGTTGGAATGAAATATTGTTAGAACGAGATTGGAATCTTCTTACCTCAAACAGAACTTTAATCTTAGATTTCCTCTCACATTTTCTTGGAGATGGGGTTTGAGTAGGAACTCTAGATAATGCTCACTGCCATCCATTCTGAGGAAGAAAAGGTAGTTTGCAAATAGGGAGGAATCAAAGCATTGAATTAAATTAAATCTCTTTTCAAATAAAACCCAGAATATTCCATCTTTTTCTTTCAGTTTAATAAATGACATCATAAAAACGACTTGTTAACTAAGTTAATACTTCTGGAAATTGTTGGCATAATGGAATTTAAAACTTTTAACATTGGTAAAATAAGTAGCTTTAAAATGGAACACTGAATAGGCAAAAACATGTCTTACAAGGTGTTCATCATCAGTCAGAATGCTGTTCTGTTGAATTACATTATGTGTCATAAACCTTAGCTATTAGAAAGTGGAGAACTGTCTTTCTTACCTAGTGCTTCTAATGAATTGCTACAAGTGATCATTTTTAAATACTTGATAAATCTTCATGATTATTTCTGTTAAACTCAGCTATAGTTAATGCCGAAATCTCCTACCATGAGTAAATAGTATTTAAAATTGTATTTCCTGTACGGGGTGGGAGATGAAAAGAGCAGATAAGACCCTAACTTTTAAGTTATTGAAAATATGTGCAATGTTTTAGATGTTAGCAAATATTAGTTGAGATAATTTACATGGTTTGGTTATTCAGCTTAAATTTGAACTGCTGTTGATGTACATTGTTTCTAATTGTTTCATATGCTTTAAAAATTCTGCCCTTAAACGAAATTCATAAAGTTCACCTGACACACATATTTTGACCTAAGAAATTTACATTTGTATCAGTATTGAATTTTGGCCAGTGCTCCAATAGAAGGAAGTTATTGTTTTGAAATAAAGAAAACTTTGTCCATGGACTATATTTTTTTCTTTTTTATGATAGGTAAGATTCTTTTATATTACACAGGAGCTTATGCGTCATTTGCTTTCTACGTTTTTCAAGTGGTAATGTATTTCTTAGAATAAATTATGTTGTCCCTCATTCACTTTTCTGTCAAAGGGATTTCAGCGTTAAAACAGGGCAGTCACTTGGGGTGACTTTCCTCAGCATTCCACCCATCACCTCTGGGGTTGCTGTAATCTCTTTTTTGCCTGCGCCCTCCGCCTTCAGTTTCTGGTTCTCTCTTCCAACACAATACAGAAGTGAATGATCTTAAAAATAGTTTAATTCTGCATCTTATAGCTGAGGCTTTAAAGTTAAGTAACTTATATAATAATGTTTTGTCTACTATAATTCTGACTAGTCCAGGGCTCACTACACACACACAGTCTGAGTCAGAGAAGACTGGACTTGGAGTATACATGATCCGTGGTATGTGATCCCAGCCAAGTCACACCTCTGTTTTTAAAATGGGAATAATGCTCAGTTCAAAAAATTGAGATTAAATGAAATAATGACTTTGAACACACTCTAGTAGAATGCTAAATAAGTTGTAACTTACATCATTTTATACGAGGTCACTGGTTTCCAGTAGACTGAATTCTGGCACCTGCACAGGCTTAGGGTGGAGGACTTAGTCTTTAGTTCTAGTTGTCTCCCAGGTCATAGGCTCTTCTGTAGAGAAAGCCTGTCCTCTTGTGAATTCCTGTGAGTAAGTGGTAAATAAAACATCAAAAGGTACAAATACCAAGAACAAGTACTTTGAAAGAACCATCCTCCTGGTAACTTACCTAAAAATAGACAATCTCTGGGTTAGAATCTGGCTGATGGAAGTTTAAACTTTCAGGCTTTAACCCAATAAAGTCAGCTCCAGCATGGCCAGGCAGAGCAAGATGCTTGGTTTAATGACTGTTGTCACAATTATTTCTCATGGGCTTTCAGCCATTCCTGAGTCCTTTCCCCTTCTTGTCTTAGAGATTCAACATTCTGAGCTCCTCCACTAAACCTCTTTTTTAAAATTCTTTTTAGTTCTTCCTTGTCAATCTTGTAAGCAGGCTAGTTCTTTATTGGTACCAGTGCAATCACTTGAGAACAGATAATAAAAATAGCATCACCAAATAAGGATCCAGAAATGGTGTGTTTCCCTGTGAGACTGTCGTCCTTAACCCACTTCCTGTGTGCTAGATGCCTGAATGTTCCCACAGTGGGAACTTCTCAGACTTCTCCTCTGGCAGGTGCTCCGGCCCCTTCTGAAGTCACAGAAGGTTGGAGGAGAACATGAGTGTCATGTAGACATTCTCAGGAAGGTAAACAACAAGGAAAGCAAATGGTGCCTCCCATTCCACACCAAGCAGCTCCCACAGGGCAGTCCCTCATAACCGCTCTCTTCCTAACGGGAGAAGCCTTACTCTGGGAGCAAGGCCAGACTCTTCCTAACAGGATTTTACTGGAGCTGTGGAAAGTCTGCTGTTATTGTTGCCTAAGGGCCAGGTTTGCTTTTTATTAAAGGGTGAGAACTACTCTGGTAGGGAAGTCATCTGAAATGTTGGTGTTAGCAACATGGGTAGGGGAACACATGAGACTGATCTTGGGGGTCAGGTTATCTGAATACTCCTTGACCCACTCGAATGCAAACTGCCCAGCATCCGAACCTCTGCCTTCCCTTCCCTTCCCTTCTGGAAAGGAATACCTGGTAACCTTCAGACTGGTCGGTGACCAGGAACACAGCTTTGATAAGCTGGTCTAATCAGAGTCTCCTTAGGCATTTGAACAGGAAACTTGGACAGAGGGCTGTTGGTACCTGGAGCTCAAATTAGGATGTCATGTAGGACAGGTATGTCCCTGAGCCATTTTTACAAAACATTACGAGGAAATGAATTAGGCATTTGTTTGGCACTTAACTATGTGTCAATACATTACTCTTAAACAAATTTTACAGGTTAGGAAGCCACTTAAAAGATTAGGTAACTTGCCTAAGGAGCTCCAGCTAATAAATGACAAAAACCCAAACCCAGGTCTGTCTAGCTATAAAAACTTTTCAAAACTACTTTATGCTGCCTTTTTAAGCAGAAATCAAGGTGAAGAGACAAAAGCCAGATGAGTGGGAGGAATGAGCAGCTGCACCTTAGAATAGCCAGACCGTAGGGCTGGCTCCCAGCAGCTCTCACAGGTTTGTCTCCATTCCCACAAACACGGATCCTTAGGACAAAGTTCCGGGAAGCCTGAAGAAATCTGAGGGCGTCTCTGTTCCCCACAATGGAAAACCCCCTATCTTGTGATGATTCTTAGGTGAAAATTCAAATGTTTGACTAGGAACTTTAAACATTCCTTTAAGGGCACTTCCTTCGGAAAGTTAGATATATAAATTTCAGCTAAAATAAAGAACTTGGGATATCATGCAGTCTCCTGATTCTTTATAGGATATGGCTCAATAACAAACAGCCCGACCAGTGTCGCTCAGTGGTTGAGCACTGACATGAACCAGGAGGTCAGAGTTTGAACCCAGGTCAGGGCACATGCCCAGGTTGTGGGCTCAATCTCCAGCAGGAGGCAGCCAATCAATAATTCTCGTCATCAATATTTCTCTCGCACTCCCTCTCTGAAATCAATAAAAATATATTTAAAAAAACAACAACAATAAACGTAAAATTTATGCTCAAGAATCTCAGCCATGGCCAGGTGGCTAGGTTGGTAGGAATGTTGTCCTGTGCACCAAAGGTTGTGGGTTTAATTCCCAGTCAGTACACATACCTAGATTGAAGGTTCAATCTCCAGTTGGGGCTGGAGGCAACCGATTGGTGTTTCTCACACTGGTGTTTCTCTTTAAAAAAAAAAAAAAAATCAATAAAAACATATCCTCATCCTCAGATAAAGATTTTTAAGAAATCATAGTGCCCTAGCCAGTTTGGCTTAGTGGCTCGAGTGACAGCCTGCGGACTGAAGGGTCCGGGTTCGGTTCCAGTCAGAGGCACATACCTCGGCTGCAGGCTCCTCCTGGCTCAGGCCCTGGTCGGGGCGCTTGCAGGAGGCAACCAATCGATGTGTTCCTCTCATGGATATTTCTGTCTTTCCCTCTCTCTCTCCTTTGTATTTCCTCTGAAATCTGCACCTGTTTGGACATCTGTAACCCAACAAAGGTTTCTTTGCTCCACACACTAGCACACCCACGAGACCCACACATCAGTTTACAGGGGAGGCAGGATGGGGGGAAGGGCAGGGACAGTGCCTGTAGACTTGGTTCCCCTGCCACTGGGGCTAAGCCAGCAGCTCCAGCTAATGTAGAGGTGGAGAAGTTGGGGTCCAGCCCCCAGGGAGGATAAGAGGCAGAAGCAGCATTGGTGCCCGAAAACCTGGCTCCCTCCCTTGATTGTAGCAGCAGCAGAGATGGATCCATGGCTCCTGACCATAGGGAACCAGAGAACAGTGCCACGGTTCTCAAATCTGCCCCCCCACCCCAAGCCATGTCATCCTCCATAGGTGACCCAGACACAGCAGGGACACCCCATCACCACCACCACCACTGCAGGGGTGTAAGTAGCACAGGTGAGAGACAAAGTTGCCCTACAAACAGCCATCTCCTGAAACGAAAGAAAGACCTCTTAAGTATCATCCTGAAATAAGGAAGGTGCTCACTACTTCAGATGCACCACACAGTAATCACATGAACAACCAGGTAACACAGTAACAAAGAAAATGACAATTCTTCAGCAATCAAACTCAAAGTCATGGAAGACTGTGATCTAAATGCCAGAGGATTCAAAATCGCAGTCATGACAAAAACCAAGAAGATCCAAGAAAACTCAGAAAGGCAGTTTAAGGAACTCAGGAATAAAATTAGTGAACAGAAGTACTTTACCAAAGTGATCGAGACAATAACCAAATTCTGGAGCTGAAGAATTCAATAAATGAGATGGAAAATGATTAGAAAGCATTGGAAACAAAGCAGACAATATGGAAGAAAATTAATGAACTAAACCATTTATTCTAAACACTGACACCTTGCATTCATTTGTACAATGTGGAAACCTGCCATATTGAGTAACAAACACTTCACACACCAGTTTGTCACCCAAAACACTTTGATAACAGAGACCATGTTCTGGAACTTTTAATACCTTTATTTCATCCAGCGCAGTGCTCTGCACACAACAGGAACTTGGGTATTGCTTACCACATAACTTCAGCATAAACAGACTAGTTTTCAGTATAATTTCTCTTGATAGCTAAAAAGTTAACATAATTAAACCACCAAGTTATTTATCCAACAACCACTTACTGATGGCCCAATTTACGCGAGCCCTATGCTGAGCACCAGACAAGATGGAGAAGAACTTGTCTCCCGCCCCCTGCCCCAGACACTCCAGTCAGCTCACCCCCGTCATTCCACTGTGGACCTCTGGGGCCTTCCAGAAGACAGGCTGTCTGCAGATCCACAGCAAGCAAGGAGTGGCTCATATCTTGCACATACCTGTACAAACTTTTGCTTCCAATGTCTGCTGATCCAATGGTGTTTAATATGCACATTTATTTAAAAACATTACTAAATGCACAGTCGCTATCAGTCATTATATATTTTCCCAAGCAAAGAGGTACTGATTAGGAGGGGATTTAAACAAAATATTCATACATTTAAAAAAGTACACATGAAAACATTGTAAATCTCTGATGTGAAAGTTTTAAGGTTTTAAGAAAAGTGAAAGCTTTAAGAGACAAGAAAGCATTTTGGAAAAAGACTGTTACAGGAATCTTCAAAGAACTCTTAGCACCTCTAAACCTGTATGTTAGGTACAAATATATTTCCCAGGTTTGCAAAGGACTTAAAATAGTTTTTTTTATACAGAGAATCGTTATGAACCATCACATTTACAGAGTATAAATACTGACAGGAACCAGATCTTTGCTCATTCAGCTGAGGCTCACCAAAATTCTCTCTCCAAGGGCCTTTACCCCCAAGCATAGCAGATGCCCCCACAAATGGAGAATTGGGCCTGGAGCCCCAATGGGTGGCTACATTATGCTCAACAATTCTTTGAAGTCTCCTGTTTTAACATTTTGCATTCCATCCCATAATATAGCTAATTATTTCAAATGTGATCTTCTAAATTATTGAACTGTTTTCTCAAATTTTTCTAGAAAATTAATGCTCAAGGAACATAGGTCATATGTTAAAAAGCAGTATAGACAGCGATTCCCACATATACGTAACGTAACAAAAACAGTTTATTATGTGTTAGGCAGGAAATGAGAGCAATACTGAGAAGTCTCCCCCTGAGAGTGGAAATAAAACAATCCTTTGAATATCAGTAAGAAACAGTGGATCAGAGCAAAAGCAATTGACCAGACACAGGCAGATGGGAGCCCAGGCCAGTTCAAAGGAGACAAGGCTGAAGGTACTGACATATCTACTGAAAGTGCCAATCAGAAGCTGATGTGAAGCAGCGAATGGCAGAGAACCTCTAGCATCGTCCACAGGAAGAGGGAACCCTGTTCCATAAACACGGCATCAGCAGGGATGGCCCCACAGGGAGACGGATGCATGAGGCAACTTGCTTCCCTTGCTCAGAATCCATGCTCACCAAGTAACCGGCTGATCACAATCTGGCTTCCCAAGAAGATCTGCCTAAAGGGAGAGAATGATTGACAGTTACATATCCCATTGTAAATTTAAATATTAACACTTTTTAAACACATCAGTTACTGTGAGCTTTGTCCATGTGAGTTTGCTATGAGATAGTTCCACTTTCCATGTGCTGACACACCAGGAATATGAAGCTTTAAAGGTCTTGGATGCAGCCCTAGCCTGTTTGGCCCAACGGATAGAGCATTGGACTGCGAACAGAAGGGTCCTGGGCTCAATTCCGGTCACGGGCACATGCCCGGGTTGTGGGCTCGATCCTCAGGGGTGTGCAGGAGGCAGCTGATCAGTGATTCTCTCTCATCATTGATGTTTCTCTCTCTCTCTCTCCCTCCCTTCTTTTCTGAAATAATAATAAAAAATCTTGGATGCATCCAATTTACCAAGGTGATACCATCTCATGACTGGCCAGTTGACTTTTCTTAGAAACATCCAGCTTTGCCACCATCAGATTTCTGTGCCCACACTGTCCAATATGGTAGCCACTACCCCACGTGGATATTGGGCATTTGAAATGTGGCTAGTATGAACTGAGATGCACTGTAAGTGTAAAATACCACATTTCCAACACTGTACCAAAAAAAAATTTAAACCTCCAATTGCTTTTGATAATTACATATTGAAATACATATATATATCATATTGGAATAAATGATATTTTTTCTTTTTTAGATGTGGCTACTAGTAAGTTGAAAATTAGCCAAACCGGTTTGGCTCAGTGGATAGAGCTTCGGCCTGAGGACTGAAGGATCCCAGGTTCAAATCCAGTCAAGGGCATGTACCTTGGTTGCGGGCACATCCCCAGTAGGGGGTGTGCAGGAGGCAGCTGACTGATCTCTCTCATCGATGTTTCTAACTCTCTATCCCTCTCCCTTCTTCTCTGTAAAAAAATCAATAAAATATTTTTTAAAAAAGAAAGAAAATCACTTATGTGGCTCACATTATATTTCTATTGGGTGTCACTCTTCTATGCCAATAATGACAATGGGATTTTAGAATCAGCACTGCATCCCTTGTATGGAACTGGACTTGTAAAGAAGAGGCCCAGTGGAACCCTTCTTACGTTGATATCAATCAAGTAAAATTAAGTGGCCATTTCTTATTACTATAAAAAGGCCAATACAAGTAAGTAGTACTGCAGTACTTGCAAGAGGTGCTGAGTCTTATGCAATTTCCAACTGTGGGAACAAAAGGCTGTGTGGGGTCGAGAGGTCTGGGCTCAAAAGCTGGCCTCTGAGCAGACATGGTAACCAGGGCCTCAGCCTGCTCAGCGGTGAGGTGCAGATCACCCCAGAGGATTGTGCCTGCACCCAGCTCTGCCTGAATACACATCTGATGTGTGAATGCTACAGCCAAGAAGCTACAGCTTTGATTTCCTAGAAATTTAGCATTATGATTTCCAAAGGATTATAAGGTAAATATCAAAGATAAAATGTGAAAAGGTAGCTTTTTATTTATCAAAAGTTAACAGCAACAGGCACATATTAAAATGAGTATGGCAAAGCCTTTTACAAATGGCTTCACACTCAAGCTTTCTCCCAAGAAAATGGCTGTTGCAACAAACTGTAAACATAATTGATAAACAGTCTTTTACAGTAACAAGGGAAATACAATTGAACTAAAAGAAAGCACTGGTTTTTCTTAAAACTAGATTACAGTTGTGCTTACTATACATAAAACAATTTAAAACAAATTACAAAAGTGGAATGTTTTAAGTTTAAAATTAGTCCTTAGGTTTTTGTCCTAGAAAACATCTGTTCACATCAAAAGGCCCATCAAAGGGTCACGTTTCATCAAAAAAGGGAGGGGGGGAGACAAGAAAACAATGCACTTTTTTCAAATCACAACAAGAAGTTTGGTCACTTAGCTTTGTGCATAGTTTAAGGCAACTGGAGCAATCTGTCACAGCTCCCGCCCCCGCCCCCAGTGTGGCTGCTCACGTCACATTCTAAAATAAATAAAAGCGTCCATGTCCAATCCTCTCCCACAAGGATAAATAGAACACATGCACAGTCACACATGCACAACATGCACACAGACACACATCCGCCCATCCACACACAACATACCTCTCACTGCAGCGAAAGGGGCTTTAGGACCCTTGCTCTGAAGGACACACTTCCCCATCCCACTTTATTTCAGATTGGCAATACCCTGAGCTGATTATGGTGTTTTACACATTCCACCTTTTCTTGCATGTGCAGGTCAAGTGTACAGGAGTGAAAACAACATGCAATGTCTCCACTGCGGAATCATAATACAGCTAGGACACTGTGCTCTGCCCCTCCCGCCCAAATTAAAACTAAGCGTTAAAAAGAGGGCACTGCCAAACAGCACTGGCGGGAAAGCGTGGCACACGCTGTGGTAGTGCACGGTTTTCAGTGCACAAATAAAACCAGGGCAAACGGGAGGCTTGGTGGCATCCAAAGGAGAAGAAAGGCAAACCAGGGGGAAGGAGCTGCAGTTGAAAGTTTGATCTTTAAAATTCTTAGTGGTTCCTTAGCAATTATGCTCCAAGGCAAATGTAGAACCAGTATTTCAGAGTGGATTTGTAAACATCAAGTCTGGCCAGAGGCAGCAGAGCTGGGCACTTCACATTTCCATTTTTCAGAGACCTTAGAGGGAGGTACAGACACACGAGGCTGCATGAGACTGGTTAGATTCCAAGAGATTTCTGCTGAAAGGTTCAGTTCAAGTTTCATGTTCGCAGAGTAGATGCTTTGAGCAACACCTGGCACTCAGCAGAACTTCCTTTGCGTCTCCTTTGGAGTCACGCCTGCAGGCTTTGCAGATCAGGTTTCACACGCGGGCCGCATCCATATTGCTGTGTTCAGGCCTCATAATTAAAAAGTGGGTTCAAGTGGCCGGCAGAGGAAATCCTGGCATCATCCACCCGGAAACCTGCAGCCGAGTCAGTTCCCTCACCTCCAGCCCCCATGCCACCTTCTAACCTCCAGGAGGCAGCCTGTCCCCGGTTCTGGGTTATGACAACCGGTTTCCTGAGGTAATACTATGAGTTCAGCTCCTCGAGTGCAGCTTCGCTGTCCTCACTGCTGGGCTGTTCTCTCTGCAGTCCCTTCCAACTGGCTTTGTTCAGCCCCACGTGTCCGAGCATCGTCTGGGACAGCCTGGTATTGGAAAACCTGGCCCATTCCGTGAATAAAGGCTCCACTAGGTATGTCATAAAACCTTAAGAAAAAAAGAGAAAAAGGTATCAACGTATGTTCTGAAACTTTATTTTTTAAAAATATACTCTTATTGATTTCAGAGAGGAAAGGAGGGAGAGATAGGAAGGTCAATGATGAGAGAGAATCACTGACGAGCTGTCTCCTGCACGCTCCACAATGGGGATGGAGCCGGCCAACCTGGGCATGTGCCCTGACTGGGAATCGAACTGTGACCTCCTCGGTCATAGGTCGATGCTCAATCACTGAGCTACGCTGGCTAGGCTGAAACTTTATCTTTAAAACGTCTCTACAGTGTTTACTCTCAAGTCCTGTTCCAATGTTACCTAAACCTTATTTTTCAAAAGGTTTTTTGTGTATAAATTTACAAGTCTTTTCTGAAGAATCTATTTCTTAAGCAAAGTAAGGGTGAACTGACAAATATATCAAATCATTCTGATGGCTCCTCTCAGCTGCACAACCGCGTCCTTTTATGGAAGCAAACGGAGGCCATGCTGGCTGAGGACGGGGAAGCGCCATGCAGGGGCGTCGCCAGGAGGCGGCTGGAGGCCAAGAGGGGGCTACGCCAGCACTGCTGGACGAGGCTAGAACTGCAGGGGAGCTGGGGTGACCCTCTTTACAGCCGCAGGGATGATAATCTTCACACCTAGTCTGATTACAATAAGACATTTTATTTTTTTAATTTTTTTAACCCTCACCCGAGGACATTTTCCCATTGATTTTTAGAGAGAATGGGAGAGAGAGGGAAAGATAGAAACATCGATGTGAGAGAAACACATCAATTGGTTGCCTCCCGCATACACCCCGACCAGGGACCATTCTGGGGAGGAGCCTGAAACCAAGGTATGTGCCCTTGACCGGAATCGAACCTGGGACCCTTCAGTCCCCAGGCCGATGCTCTATCCACTGAGCCAAACTGGTTAGGACTATAAGCCCTTTTATTTAACTTAGAATCACATAAGCCCAAATTTCTGTCAAAAATTATGAGTCTAAAAAGAACAGAGGAGATTAAAGCAATTATTAAAGTGGACATCAAAAGTGTAACAGGGTCCTACTTTATAAATACCTCCTATACTGATCTCCTTAATTCATGGTCAGAAAAGGAGTGATTTCAGGACTGTCTGCATCTCCAGTGTACTTTATGTCTGATTTAATGCAACAGAGTATCTTACACCGGGAGGTGGGGGCGGGCGGAGGGGAAGCCTCCCAGAAAATGCCTCATCAATGAAATAATGTATATTAGGAGAAACAAATAACATTATCTTCCTAACATTTTTTAAAAAATATATTTTATTTTTTACAGAGAGGAAGGGAGAGGGATAGAGAGTTAGAAACATCGATGAGAGAGAAACATCGATCAGCTGCCTCCTGCACACACCCCCACTGGGGATGTGCCCGCAACCAAGTTACATGCCCTTGACCGGAATCGAACCTGGGACCCTTCAGTCCGCAGGCCGATGCTCTATCCACTGAGCCAAACTGGTTAGGGCTATCTTCCTAACTTTTGATCTGTTAAGGAAAGGGAAAATGTACATCCAAATTCTATCACTGCTTGTGTAAGCCAGCTTTTAATTTTTCTTCTCTAAAACCTTGTCTTTGCAGCAAAAGACCAAGTTGACCATAGAAAACACAGGTTCCATTCATCCAACAAATCTCACTAGAGCAGGCAGCACCCAATACTGTTAATTAGAAAAGTCAGGTATGGTCTGATGGTTGACTTTCCTTAAGTGTACAAGTGCTGGAATCTGAAATAGCAGCCGGGTCAGAAATAAGGCTTTCTTCCACTTCTTCTGTTTCCCTCACACACAGCAGCTGAGAACCTACTATGTGCCAGCACTGTCTTGGGTGGCCGGGGTAGAGCAGTGAATAAGGCCACAGATCTGCCCTCAAGGAGTTTCGTTCTGTGAGAAGGAGACAAACACAAAAAGATGCCTCCACAGCACCGAACGGCAGCTTTGGGTGCCGTCCTCACACCAGGGCCAGGCAGGGCCAGCCACCCAGCGCCGTCTCTTCCAGGGGCTCAGGCACAAGCAGCTGGAGTTTTGCACCAAACGCAGAGCCTCATGATCACGGGCTTCCCATGACTCCTCCTTCCAAATGGTTGCCTCTAATATCAAACACATTAACTACCACTTCTGGCTCTGTGTTAACCGAAAATGTATGTTAGGTCTTAAGTAGCTGATAAAAATGAATAGGCTGGGGCATGGACACAGCCATGCAGCACCTGCGCGGAGGGCAGGGCTCCGCCAGCTGCTCAGCCGCCTGTGAATCCGCTGACCCGCACTAGCCACTCACTCGAGCATCCGCGCAGGCCCTATGGACGCCTGGCCAAATGCCTTGCTCTTACCAGTACGTGATATTCTCGGTCAAGAAAACTAGTATTCCCATCACAGAAGGAAACGCTATTAATGAAACATGACTTCTATGTACTGACTGTGCTGGCTCCCAGTAATCACTGGGACCTGATTCAGTAAGCACAGAACCTGTTCTAACAGCCACATGACTTACCGCAGAACTAGAATCTTCCTAAGCCCCCTTTACCTGGGGATTGACATCAGAAAGCCCAACCCCTGTTAACTGTATTAACTGGGCAAACAAACTATCTGAACAAGAGAATACCAGCATCACTTGTTCTGTGGTGGTTATGGAGTCAGGAGATGTGAACTATTACTATCATTTACCTATCCCTGCCCCTCTGATAATCCACTCCAGAATTTTCCAACACTGACAAGACCTACGGAACAGTTTAAGGCAGTGGTTCTCAACCTGTGGGTCGTGATCCCTTTGGGGGTCGAACGACCCTTTCACAGGGGTCGCCTAAGACCATCGGAAAACACATATATAATTACATATTGTTTTTGTGATTAATCACTATGCTTTAATTATATTCAATTTGTAACAATGAAATTTGGGGTCACCACAACATGAGGAACTGTATTGAAGGATCTCGGCATTAGGAAGGTTGAGAACCACTGGTTTAAGGTATCTGGCTCCTTTTCCCTTTTAAATACTACATCTTTTAGAAATCTCATTTGCAAGTTCTCCCATTAGGCAAAGCCATTCAGAGTAGCTAGAGTAAGCTGGCGACCCATTCCCCTGGCCTCCGTTCCCTCTGCCTGCATGCCACCTATTCTTTCACATTTGAAGACAAGTCTCCTTGAGAGCCAGAGCAGATCTACGTCCTGTCTTACCCTCTGAAAACCTAAGCTTTCCTGGCTGAGCCGCGTTCCCGCCTCCCCCACCCCCGTCTGTGCCACACCCCCTTCCCACAGACTCATCTCCACCATCCCTCCGCAGGCAAGTCAGATACTACCCACTGTCTTCCACACGGGACCCTTTGCCGTGACACAGGAATTACATTTCTGAATCTGAGCCTAACGCAGTCCTCTTTTCAGAGTCTTATGCCACAGTATTATGCTATCTTCTGACTTTCTAGAAACTTTATCTTTCTAAAATCTGTGTACACATTTCACTATGTTCAGTCCAATTCTCAAAGGCCCTACTGCATACCAGCGACCAAAATTAGTCATTCCTCGAAACCTTGCTGGGTTACCCCACACGCCCGGCCCACGCCTGTCTTTCCTGCCACCACTGCACAGCGCCCATCACAGCAGCCTCCTAATGCTTCTTCCTCCAGCTACGGTCCCTCATGGCTCTCAGCGCCTCAGCCCTGCTGCAGCGCTGGCTCAGGGGCACATCACAAAGGCCAGGAGGGCCCTGAGAGCCCGGGAGAGGACGCTGCCTGCCCGGAGGACAGGACAAGGAAAAGGAGCCCATGAGGCTGAAGGCGCAGCGTGGACGTGGGGGCCCCTGGAGGGTCCTAGGCTGCTCTGGGTAAATGAGGGCAAGTTGTTGGGGCGAAGACTGAAGGGACAAATCGAGGCGAGATCTCAAAAGGCCCGTGCGAGAGGTGGAGGAGGTACTGTGACCACCCGGCCGTGATAACCAAGAGGAGGAGGCAGTGCCAACTGCTCTCACATCACACTCAGCACAGGGGTCCCCTTTTCATGCCCCAGAATTATGCAAAAAGCTTCCACGAGGCAAAAGCGTATTTCCACTTTAGAACGCTCAAAAAAGGAGCTGTTACATGTTCTGCAAAAATTATGTTTTACAACCCATAGTCAAATGAGAGTAATTATAAGAGCAAAATAAGACAAGACTAAAATTTTAGATTGTTTAAATGAGCATAATCGTAATATCCTATATTTCAAGTGTCTCTTTTTCTTGACAAAGTTACAATCAGTGGCACTTTTCTAACTGGCCCGTATCTACGTATAGTTACCAATCTGGATGTTGGCAATAGATTCAGTCTGACGATCACAAAATGGACTCACACCCAGCTGGTACTTCTTCTCGATGTCTCCTAGAAATTAACGAGAGACAGACTGTTACTGTGGAGCACACCTACCGCCTGTAACTGAAGCCCACAGCTCGCCTGTCCGTTCCTTAGAAAAAGGCAACGCATTTACTCCCCGGGAGGAAAGCCTCCCAGGTGGTCCTCCGCGTCACTCACAAATGGCAAAGCCGATCTCTAATGGAGGGGGAAGACTTCTACCAGGTGTGTTACCCCAACATGTGGTTCTGCCAGCATTTTAATTTAAATCCTAGGTTTCTAAAAGGAAGGTGCATGAAATGAAGATCCTTGGTTCCTGGGTTTAAATCACAAAAATGTCTTATATGGCCACGCCATCCACACAGGACAGGAGGGGTAAGGTCAGCAAAATCTCCAACCTGATGGATGCCGATTCATAAAAGCAGGCACACACATCTGACGATTTGAAGAGAACTGCTAATTTACAAAACATGCTCAGTCTGTTCGTTATTGGTTATCTGTGCATCTACTGTAAATTGTCACTAAAAATATCAAATATCTACCACTAGCCTCCTATAAATGTCCGAGTTATTTTATTCATATGATGCTAAGCAAATGAGCTGAGTAGATTAATTAGCATTCAATACTGTAACTTGCCTTGATGGAAGAATTCCTCTGTTACTTTTTCACTCCACTGCTTGCTTAATTCCCAGGTCCGACACGGGTTACAAATATCAGCACATTTCAAAGCCATCTAGCAAGCAAAACAGTAATGTTGTTTTAAGAAAAAAGTAAAATTCCAAAGGTAATAGTGGCAAAACAACACCTTTAAAAAAAGAGAAAATACTGCAACAGAAAATTCATTTTTTATGTTACTTTTATGACCCTATTAAGTCTACCAACCATTTCTCCAGAAATGCTGCAAGACTGCAAACGTAACTGTACAGCTGAGCACATGGCCTGGAGTAACCAGGAAGTTACAAATAATTACCCAATTCCTGTCAATTTCTTTTCTTAAACTTTAATAAGTGAGAACTTATTAAAACAAAATGCTCTTGCAAAACCTGTTTTTGTTAGGAATCCCGAGTGTGAACAATGCCAATCGACGGTGCTCTCCGGGGGAGGGGGCTCTCCCTCCGGGAAGGAAACCCCACAATCTCTCAGACGTCACGTAACCACTCTGAACACGACACTAGAATATTTCATCTTTAGTCTAATAGTCACATGATTTACCCCAGAAACAGAATCTTTCCAAGCCCCGTTTTACCTGTAAAACCAAATGCCTATGTCTGGCATCTTCCAGGCATAAGTCACCTCTATCCAAATGGGACCTGAACAGCGACAGGTACTCGTTTTGGCGACTGATGTCTGTGGCCAGTATCAGAGCACCTATCTGAGTCTCCATTTGTTTCCTGGAATTAAAAATATAAAAAGAAAATACAAGACTTTCAATTAAATAGTTACTTATTAATTTCTTCCTTAAACTTAATATTCAGAAAACTTTATAGAGCCCTAATATATTCTATTTGCCACACAACTTTTAACCTATCACAAAAAATGAATTTTAAATAATGCATAAAAAAACTACTAAAATAATCAAAACTAAAACCAAGAGTTTGTAGAAATACTAATATGCAAACATCCTCAAAACAGTGCCTTTTATTTTTCCAGCCAAGGTGGGATTATTTGCCTATAAAAAAACAATAAGATTGGTATATTTTCTGTGAAAGTTCTTTGCTGGGATGTGCTGAGGGTAAACAACTCTGGGTTTCTTTCCTGGTGCCTGAGATCTGGAAAGCAGAAGGAAGTTTCAAAAGGAGGGAAAAGAGTCCATCCAACAACCGACTCCTATAGATATTTTGACTGAAATGTCCAATTAAATCCTGATGAAATCCCACCAAAATGTTTGAGAAAGTTTAGATTCAATTATATGTATATATGTATAGTTCAGCAGTTGTATATAGCTGTATATGTATACTCAAGAGTCAATCATCTAAATGACTACCCAAATTTTCTGGAAGGTAAAAGGTAACATGTTAATATAAATTAAAAAAAAAATATATATATATATATATATATATTGAACCAGTTTATATATATGCCGAACCAGTTTGGCTCAGTGGACAGAGCATCAGCCTGCGGACTCAGGGGTCCCGGGTTCGATTCCAGTCAAGGGCATGTACCTTGGTTGCGGGCACATCCCCACTGGGGGGCGTGCAGGAGGCAGCTGATCGATCTCTTTCATTTATGTTTCTGGCTCTCTATCCCTCTCCCTTCTTCTCTGTAAAAAATCAATAAAATATATTTTAAAAAATGGTATTTTAGCCCTGGCAGGTGTGGGTCAGTGGTTAGAGTACTGGCCTGAGTACTGAAGGGTCCCAGGTTTGATTACCTGGTAAAGGGCTCGTTGGGTTGCAGGTTCAATCCCTGGCCCTGGCTGGGGCTCACATGGGAAGCAACCAATCGATGCGCCTTTCTCACATCGATGTCTGTCTGTCTCTCTCCCCTTCCCTTCCACTGTCTAAAAATCAATGGAAAAAATCTTTCATGAGGAATAACAACAACAAAACAAACAAAAAAACCATGATATTAAAAAAAAAAAAACTGTCTCAAATCAAATAACAGGAGAAATAAACTTAAAAAAAAAAAATTCCTGCTTTTTTTCTGGCTGGGTGGCTCAGTTGGTTGGAGCGTCATCTTGTAAACCAAAAAGGTTATGGGTCCATCCCCAATTGGGGCATGTGCCAGAGCAACCTATCAGTGTTTCACATAGATGTTTCTTTCTTTCTTTCTCTATCTCTTCCTTTCTTTCTTTCCCTCCCTCCCTCTCTCTCACTCCCCCCCCCCCCCCGTTTCCTTCCGCTCTCTCTAAAATCAATAAACATATCCTTGGGAGAGGATTAAAATAAAATAAAATAAAATAAAAACCTGCCTTTTATTTCAATGGGCCATAGCAAACATTATCTTTGTATAATGATCAGAGCTGTCAATAAATTAAAAGGCTCACAATATTGAAATACAGAAAAAAAACAACATCCAAAGAATGCTGTTGTATAGAGTTCCTGTTTCAGTTTTTACTTGTATTAAATCTAAGAATTTTAACAGGGGTTCATTATCAAATGCAAAACATGATTAAAAGGCATAACAAAGCACACATTTTAATCTACCTTAGTCAAGGAAAAGATACTTTCTGTATACAAAGACTGTATGGTTAAGCAACTTTTATATTTGTACTCAGCAAGAAATAATTTTACTTACCGGAAGTACTGTCATAACTCCAAATGGTATCCATGAATAAAGAGTTTAAAAAAATAAAAAATAAAGTCCAGCTTTTTTCTTATGGTCATTACACAAAACACTCAAGTTTTTAAATCATGAAAGGGAAAAAGGAAAGAACTGTGATAGTAACTTAAATTTTAATACCCAGTTTCATGCCTCGCCTTTTTGCTAGAATTACTTGGTTTACATAACCACTGACAGGGTTTTCCTAAGGCATCTTCTCTGTGAGGCAGTCATATTAAACCTTTGCTTACGGGCAATGACATGAGCGTTTGTTAGCAACCTCCGTCATGTTGGGCTCATTCACATTAATGCTCTTTATTAGGCTTTCAATGGCCTGCTTAACATTAAATGATCTATTTTAAAAAATTAGTATTTTCTGTTCTTTCCAGTCATTATTTTATCCTATAGCTCCAGAAGTGACCTATAGCTGCAGGATTTTTACTTCTTAACAGTTTTGAAGCTTTATTTTTAATAAATCTATTTATTATACAGAATGTTTACTTTCTATTTATTTCTAGAACTTAAGGTTTTGTTTAAATTAGCACAAAATGGAAATATGTTATACTATTTATATAAATAAGCAGTAAACTGTGATTGAGCCATTGTGCGTTTGGAGTGAGTTTTATATAGTACTCAAATCCATGGGATGATCTTTCATAATAATTCACTAAGAATATCCTATTAACTATACTGTAGAACAGGTTTAAATTACTAAAATTTTTATATAAATTTTTAAAATAAAATAATTTACCCGTTAAATTTAACAACCCCTCCCCCAAAACCTGAAAATTATGGAACACTTGAACATAATAATGTAATTTTAAACCTTATAAAATTGTTTTGCCAGGTTAATTTTCATTGTTTACAGCAAATTAAATCTGTCTGAATCCAGCCTACCTGCTCTCTAACGGCATATGTGAGAATAAACCGGATTCTCTCAATAACCCCACGGCAGATCTCCAGTGGTGGTTTTCCAGGACTGAGGTATTCTACAGAAGAAAAAAAAAAAAAAAAAAAAGCATATCTGAGTTATTTAATGGTAATAAATCTCTTTCTGAACATAAAGAATTATTTGGGAGTAATATTAATCTGGTTAAAATCCTAACATTTGTTAACCACTTTCACTTCTTGAAAACATGAAACATTTTCAGGAATGCAAGAATATTAAATGTTGATGATAAAATGGCACTAACCTTGTATAAAGTTGCCAAGTAATGGTTAGTTTTAATAAGGAAAGGTTGATTAACACCTGGATGATCCAGATCATGCGTGGCAGCTGCAATTAAGCTCAGCAAGACATCCCAAGGAGTTACGGAGTTGGCAAGCTGAAGTTGACAAAAGAAGACTAATTACAGTCATATTTGAAATCAACTCTGTCCCACTGCAACAGGTTTCAATTAGCCCCAAAATGGCAGTGTTGCCAGTGCCCTCCCGTCCTGGTTTTCAGACTTCGCTAAAGCCGCCAGGGCCTGCTGGGCTGGCCTCCGCAGACACCGAGAGGGCAGATCGGACAGCTCGTTCTTCCACAGCCTCATTTTAAACAAGCTTAATCACAATGGCAAAGTACAAGCCATCTCAAAAAAGATGGCTTTTTCAAATATTTGAAAAAAAAAGAATAGTTCTGAAGCAATAAACACAGGTTTGTATGTTTTTATTACCACAGCCATTACAGCAAACAGAAAAGACCTATGAGGTTAAATATTTTTTATTATAAGAACACTTAACATGAGATCTACCCTCTTAACAGATTTTTATCAACCAACTAGAGGCCCCATGCACCAAATTCATGCAAGAGTAGGCCTTCCTCCCCCGGCTGCCGGCTCCGGCTTCCCTCTGGTACCCGGGACCCGGGCTTCTCTCGCAGTCCCGGCTTCATCTGGAAGGTTGTCCGGAAGGATGTCTGGTCTAATTAGCATATTATGCTTTTATTATTATAGAAGACTGTGGGGAAGCACAAAACTTGGTCGGAATGTCTGTAAGGAGGATTCTCCGAAAGGTCTCTGAGGGGAGCCGGACTTTTCTAAACAAGTCCCATCCCTGGGGTGTTTTGCTAGAATCTCTGTTTAGTCTTTTACACCCGACCGTGTAGAAGCATATACTTTCTCAAGGACACTTACCCTGCTGATTGTAGCTAGAGGTTAATTTTAGATCAAGCTGTTACGACAATAAAAGGCAAAGGAGGCAGGCGAACAGGGCTACTTGGCGGCGATAGCCAAGCAGTACCTTAGCCCCCTCTTTCACAGAAACGTGTATTAGAGTAATTATTCATCCGTCGTTCAGGGTCTGCCGGTCCGCCCCGGCGAAGTGGTGCCCCGTGTGAGGCTGACCAGCAATTGTTTACTGGATCCCAATTAAGAATCTAAAAATGAGGTTATTTCTGAGGCCCCACTGTCTACAGAGGCTACTGGGTCATCAGAGAGCAGAGTCCTCGTCCAGTCTGAACTCAAGCCTCTCCCAGTGGATGGCACACTCAGAACAGCGAACACAATGTGCACACATCAGAAAAGGCAATCTTGCAAGGTAACAATTACACTGCTGCTCCGAATCATCATTATTAATCTTACTCGATACAATAAAATAATCACAGAAAAAAGTTCGTTACCTGACTGAAAATTTCAGTGATAAAAAACAGCCATCTTGCTACATGTATCGTCTGCTTTTCATGAATCCCTTCTCAATACTGGGCCACTGCTCCTCATCTCAGGCCCAACTCCCCTGACCACCCCATGCCCCCTCTTCGCTGCCTGCAGCCTCTCCCTGGCCAGGGCTGACTTGTGTTCCTACAGCACTTCACACGTCCGGCCGTGGTAACACTCAGCACGGCGTGCTTTTCCTGAGGGAGCGTTAGGTCAATGCTCTCTAACCTTGCATGACCCTGCGCCCTGGCAGTAAAACAATGTGATCATACACCACCAACGTTGGTACACTTACTTACAGATCATGATACTGAACTAACATACATTACACATGATAAAGATGAAAATGGAAAAATTTTAATTTAGATAAATTTTGACTCCAATTTTAATATTCTCTTTCTATGCCAGAATGAATCTTTTTCCATCCCTTGTGTCAAGTTCATTTCAGTCTGAAAAAGAGAACTAAAACTCAACATCTAAGGGCTTGAATCCCCTGGAAAACTGAAAGCTGTCAGAAGGCCAAGAATATTTATTATTTATTTTTGTATTGCTTATAACTGGTATGTGGAGAAGTTCAAAGAATGGGGAGAAGTTGTTGAAGAAAATTATTTCCTCTTCAGGATTTGTGACAGCATTTAAAAAATAGACTTTTAAAGCCTGGCTCACTCATCAAGAGGAACGAAGGCACACTCTTGGAGCACCCTGCGCACAGAGCAAGCTCCCCTCCCAACCCAGAGCATGTGGGCAAGGCTGTGGATATCTTGTCAACAAATAATTAAGCAACATGCAAATGTTATATTCTTACGGTAACTACGACAGAGGGAAGTGGCAGAAGAATAGATATGTACTATCCTGGAGAATCCAGCGATCCAGAATTAAACTAAAAACAAATTCATGTATGATTACACATGACATCAAACAATCTCAGGTAGATTAAAGAGTGAATCATTAATATGAGAAACATGAAAAGAAAACAATCTTTAAAAGTTCTGTTTGATTTCTCTCCTATATGTCAGACTCTTACCACCTGTCTCTCAGGCACCCATTTGGATATCGCACAAATATGTGCCTTCGTTCCTCTTCATTAGTGAGCCATGCTTTAAAAATCTGTATTTTTTAAATCTGTCTCCAGATTCAAACCGGAAGTCCCATCTCTACCCTCCCCGCCCCAAACACGCTCCTTCTCCTGCCTTCTTCTCAGGAGCCTCCAGCTCTACCGCCTGCCTCGCCTGCCCACGCAGCCTCCATCGCTCCCCTCCACGGCTCCTCTCCCTGCGCAGCTTCCTGACGCACTGGACCCCAGACCCCAGTCCTTCTAATTCTAAGCGGCCCTCCCAGCCCCACCCGCCCCACCCAGGACTGTGTGCCCGCCCCCTCGAGGAGCCCTGAAGCAGCGCCAGGCGTTCATGTTCACACAGCAGCCAGCTCCCTACTCCTCAGGGGCAGGCGTCAATGCGGGTGGGTGTCAGACAGCCCCAGGGATCTGGCCCTCGCTGGGCCTCCTGCAGCTGCTCCCTCAGCGCACTCCCCCCCCCCCCCCCCCAATTCTCCAGTAGCTGCGCCTACAGATACAGCCTGTTTTGGAAACTTGATCCCGCTAGATCTCAGTCCTGTGAAGGAAACTTCTGATTCTGAGTCAAGTCACTAACTTAGGGAAAAGTATTTGAAATAAAGCAGAGACGCTCTGAGGATTGTCACCTGCTGTCATGTCAGCATCTCACCTTGGGTTCTCGTAGGTAACAGTGCATGGCCTGAGTGACGTCCGCAGCGTGGACGGCGTTGTGGTACGGGTTCTGACTGTGGTAATCTTCTTGAATCATAACTGCAACGAAGGAAAGCCCCCCCCCCTTAATGGTAAATGGCGGCATGGACAAGTAAACTGTGATAATCACAGTTCCCACCGACACTGTCCATGTGGCTATCAGTTAACTATTCAGGTTCAGAGAGATGATAACCACCCACACTCACATGGACACCTAAAGAATCAATACCATTTTGACTCATAACTTGTTTGAAACTTTTTTAAAATGTATGTTTTTATTGATTTTTAGAGAGAGAAAGGGAGAGGGAGATAGAAACATCAATGATAAAAGACAATCATCCATCAACTGGCTGCCTCCTGCATGCCGCCTACTGGGAATCGAGCCCTGACCTGGGATCAAACTGGTGACCTCTTGGTTCATGGGCTGATGCTCAACCACTGAGCCACACTGGCCAGGCTTCTTTGAAACTTAAATGAGGAATTATTCATGTCAAAATTATAAAATACTTTCTCTTTTAAAATGTGAATGAGAGACCAAAAGAATCTCAGTTTAGTAAAAAAGTACCATTCAACAAGTATTTATTGTGCCAGATACTGTTCTAAGTGGTACTAGAAATTCATCAGTGAACAAAAATCTTTATGACACTGAAACAGTGCAAATACTGGGTCTATGAAAGTGACCCTGTGGGCACTTCATCACGCGGTGGGTTTTGGACCTGGAATTTGTTTTTCAGTTTGTAGGGATGGACCTGATGCTAATCTTCTTTCTCCCTCTGTGTCTGTTATGCTATCACAAAAAGGTGGGCCAGAATCAGCGGGAGAGCTACCCGTGGTGCCAGCGAACCTGAATGGGGATGGAGGGTGGGGGGCCAACAGCAAGACATGCTAAAACCTAGAGGTCTCTGAGGAACATGCCAGCCCCAAGGTGGTGATTGCAATCCATCCGTGAGCGGGAAAAAGACTTGGGATTCTGTATTTACTTTAAACCCATCATTTAAAATAGCCTTTTAAGTACTTTTGTACCATCTATTTTTGTATGTGTTTTATAATTTATATAATATACTAGTACAGTATCACAGGCATACGATTTATAAATAAATGTGCATTAAAAGTTTCTCAAGCCCTGGCTGGTTCAGCCTGCAGACTGAAGGGTCCCAGGTTCGATTCCGATCAAGGGCACATTGCCCATGTTTCCAGCTCAATCCCCAGTAGAGGGCGTGCAGGAGGCAGCTGATCAGTGATTCTCTCTCATCATTGATTATTTCTTTCTCTCCCCCTCTCCCTTCTTCTCTGAAATCAGTAAAAATGTATTTTTAAACAGTTGCTAGGTAATAAATTTATCTTAGTTTAGAACTTAAGAGGAAAGAAAACATTGTCTTCTTCCTTTAAAAAAAAAAGAAAGACTCCGCATGCTATGCTACCAATTTTTTCCTAACATGTTTCTTTATTCGGTGAAAAGCTTCAACTTTCCCCTAAGCAGAGCAGTCTTAGGTAAATGCCACCCTGCACGTTTAAACATATTCCAAATAATCTTTCAAGTTTACTGTCAAATTAAGAGACCTAAGTGCAATGTACCCCATCTTTAAAGTTTTACCCTTCAAACACTTAGAAAAGGGCAGAGACGTAGCATCTTTGTCAGGAAATCGTGGCTGACGTAGACCTGACTGCAGAGTCATCCCAATTCCTCCCCAGGCCCCAACCCTGGGCTCCGAGGCTCCGTAGCTCTCACCCCAGGTGCAGTCCATTTCCACCTGCCCCGCCCGGCTGCTGGCACAGGTGGGAAGTGAAGGGGGCCAGGGTCACCAGCTCTCTCTGGAAACTGAACACCACTTTGAACAAGCTCAGCTTATCCTATCCTATATAATAAAACCCTAAGATGTAAATCGACTGAATGGCAGGACGACCAGTTGCTATGACACACACTGACCCAGGAGCAGACACTCAACACAGGAGCTGCCCCCTGGTGGTCAGTGCACTCCCACAGGGGAAGCGCCGTTCAGCCAGGAGCCAGGAGCCAGGCTCACGGCTGGCAAGCACAGAGGCGGTGGTGGGAGCCTCTCCTGCCTCTGCGGAGAGTGGGCCTAAGACGGCAGTCAGACCTCCCCAGAGGGGCCCTGCACTGTGAGAGGGAGCAGGCCAGGCTGAGGGACTCCCCCAACCTAGTTTTAAAATAAAGATTACTTTCTTTTTTGTTCTTAATGTGAATCTATTATGGTGCCAAAGTCCTCTGCATTCTTTTAACTTAATAGGAGACCACTCAGAGCTGCGCCAGGTCAGCCCCAGTTCTTTGGCTGCTAGCTGCAGACGCACAGAGAGCAGCAGGACCGGAAGCAGCATGCACAGCCCACAGACCCAGGAGCTCAATAATGCATGTTGTTTTAAGCCACTAAATATGGAGTGGTTTGTTTTAGATCAATAGTTAATTAATACCAAATTTTTAAAAGTTCTTGTAAACATCTTATTACTACTGCTAAATGAATTAGAATTACTTACCTAAAAATCTACGAAGTTTCACCATATCTAAATGGAAGTACTCAATTAATCCATGAAGACTAAATAAATGACAGGTTAAACTTACTAGACTATTTCCTAAAAAAAAAAGAAAAGACAGAGAAAGGAGATATTAGTAGCTAACATAATTGCATATAGGTTTTGAATACACAACATGAAGTACTAATTCCTTTTTGTCTGTCTAAAATTTACAAATTCTTAGATCAGTTATGAACTTCAAATTTCACATCTTTTTTTCCATTCTAAGAAAAAACTTTTTTGTTGTTTCATTTTGCACAACCAGGTAAACTGGAAGATAAACTTTTAATAGACTGATTTAAAAAAAAATACACCAAAATAATCAGAATCAATAGAAACTTTGAAAATTGTCCCATGCTAAGTTTAAGTCAACTTCCCAAAGCACCTAAAAATGGCTGCACTTAACCACTTCCTACACGTCCCCTCAACCACCTGCTTTAGCTGAACAGAGATGTCCCAGAGCAAGCGATCTTGGCCGCACCTGGTTAGGTGGAGGCTGTGTTTATTCTAACAAAACGGGACAGAATTCTATACCTATTCATTCATAGACAATACGATATCTAGCAATCTTATGTTTTTCCAGTGAAATGGTTCTTTGACTTTTCAAAATGCCTATTTTCAAGCTTTCTCTACTTTCCTCAAACTACTGACATAACCACATCCTATTCACCCCCTCATCCTCAACAGCCTCATACTTCACAGAAAAAACACACAAGCCCTCAAATTTCCCTTTCTTTCAAAAGCCAATAACACCTCTACCTCTCCACAGCTTCTCAGGAACCTTCCTTGGTCCATCACATACATCTACCATCCCCCATCCCCAGTTCCACTGAATCAATACATCCCTCCCTCCTCCCCCTTCTCATATTGCTCAGTATGATGGGCACTCAGACATGCTCTAGATTCTCTTATCTTTGAAACAATGAAGAATCCCCGGCTCTCTTGGCCCTTGTAGTTGTCACCCTCTCTGCTCCCCCACAGAGAGTTTTCTGGGAGTGTTGTCACATGCAACGGGGTTATCTTCATCCTCAACTCATTCCTTTGTCACTGACAACTGGAGCCACACCACGTGTATAAATTAAATTTGGAAAAACTACCAGTTTTTATAATGTTTAGTTTTTCATTCCAAGATTCAACTCTCTCTCCATTTCTTATACCTTCCATTATATTTCTCAATCTTTTGAAGATTTTCTCTATAGGACTGATATGCTGTATTAACAATTAAATAGACTGTGTTTTAAAAGGAGTATAAGCTCATAGTTACTGCCAACATTTGGACAAGAACAATAACATAGACACTATTCTAGTATTCTCTAAAAAAATTGATGATTCTTACAAAAAATGAATAAAAGACATAACTAGCTCCACATTGAAAATTTCTAGTAATATTTATGAAGGATTATAAAGAACTACTGGGCTAAATTCATTATCTAAAACTGCCTAAACAATTGTCAACAGAAGCTCATGGCTGAGGAAAAAAGTTAATTAATTGGAATAATATTTGCATGGGCAACATTGTAAATAATGTGGCAGCCCAAAAGAGATTCTTTTTCAAAACTACCTGGCATATCATCTTCAAAGGAGGAAAAAACCATTTCAAATCTTTTATTTTTATGAAATTAAAAGTTAAAATGCATTCAAATCCTGATAATACTCTACTGGTACAAACATGAGCCTATGTGGTTTGGAAGTATTTGAGAAAAAGTGAGCTATATTTCTGCTACTGCTGTTGTAACAACCAATTTTGGGGGGGAGGTATATTCATAGATATTTTAGAATGCATGTTCAAACAAACTATCCAATTAAAACATGACCAGAGGATCTGAACATTTTTCCACCTGACATACAGATGGTCAACAGACACATGAAAAGATGCTTGACATCACTTATCATCAACTAAATGCAAATCAAAACAACAATGTCACCTCACACCAGTAAAAATGGGGATTATAAAATAGGCAAGAAGTAAGTGTTGATGAGAATGTGGAAAAAGGTGAACCCTTGGGCACTCTTTGTGGGAATGTAAATTGGTGCAGATACCATGAAAAACTGTACAGAGGTGTCCCAAAATAATTAAAAATAGAACTACCATATGATTTAGCAACTCCACTTCTGATTATTTATATGAAGAAATCCAAAATACTAAATTCCAAAAGATATAGGCACCTCAGTGTTCACTGTGGCATTATTTGCAATGGCCAATACTTAGGAAGCAACCTAGGTATCTATAGCTAGAAGAATGGATAGAGAAAATGTGACATATGTGTGTATAGAATTTTATTGAAGTAACATAAAAGAAGGAATGTTGTTTAGCCATAAAAAAAAGAAGGAAATCTTGATTTAATGTTGATAGCCATTGTGACAGGTGTGAGGTAGTATTTCACTGTGGCTTTCATTTGCATTTCTCTGATGATTAGTGACATTGAACATCTTTCCATGTCTGTTGGCCATCTGTATGTTCTCTTTGGAGAAGTGTCTATTCAGGTCCTTTGCCCATTTTTTAAAATTAGATTTTTTTGTGTGTGATTAGTTTTCAAGTACTTAATAAATTCTGGATATTAAGCCCTTTTCAGGTGTATTATTGGTGAATATGTTCTCCCATTCAGTGGATTGTCTTTTCATTTTGTTGATGATCTCCTTTGCTATGCAAAAACTTTTTAGTTTGATGTAGTCCCTTTTATTTATTTTTCTTTTGTTTTCCTTACCCAAGGAGATACAAAAAGATATTGCTAAGAGAAATGTCTGAGATTTTACTGTTTTCTTCTATGATTTTTTTTAGTTTAGAGTCTAACATTTAAGTCTTTAATCCATTTATTCTCGTGCATTGTGTAAGAAGGTGGTCTGGTTTCATTTTTTTGCACATTATCTATCCAATTTTCCCAACACTATTTATTGAACAGACCAGTGATGGCGAACCAGTGATGGTTAATTTTTCTTTGTTAAATGGCATTTAAATATATAAAATAAATATCAAAAATATAAGTCTTTGTTTTACTATGGTTGCAAATATCAAAAAATTTCTATATGTGACACGGCACCAGAGTTAAGTTAGGGTTTTTCAAAATGCTGACATGCCGAGCTCAAAAGGTTCGCCATCACTGGAATAGACTGTCTTTACCCCACTGTATGTTCTTGCTTCCTCTGTCAAATATTAATTGACCATAAGGTATGGGTTTATTTCTGGGTCTCTATTCTGTTGCATTGATTTGTATGCCAACAACAACAAGTGTTGAAGAGGATGTGGAGAAAAGGGAACGCTCCTGTACTGTTGGTGGGAATGCAGACTCTGCAGCCACTGTGGAGAGTAGTATAGAGAAAAAAAAATTAAAAATGGAACTGCCTTATGACCCAGCAATTCTACTTTCTGACAATATATCTGAAGAAACCCAAAATATGGATTCAAGAAGATATATGTACCCTTATATTCACTGCTGTGTATTAACAATAGCCAAGATTTGGAAGCAGCCTTACTACCCATCAGTAGGTGAGTAGATAAAAGAGCTGTGGTAAATTAATAAAATGAAATACTACTTGGTTGTTAAAAAAAAGGAAATCTTACCTTTTGCGAAGCATGGATGGACCTGGAAAGTATTATGCTAAGTGAAATAAGCCAGTCAAAGACAAGTACCATATGATTTCACTCATATGTGGAATCTAATGAACAAAATAAACTAACAAACAAAATAGAAATGCTCACAGAAACAGAGGACAGACAGATAGCTGTCAGAGGGGATAGGGGTTGGGTGAAAAAGGTAAAGGAATTAAGCAAAAACAAAACAAAATACCCCCAAAACAACCTCACAGACACAGAGAACATTGTGTGGTGATTACCAGAGGGCAAGGGGGGTGGAGGGAAGTAGAAGAGGATAAAGGGTGGATAAATGTGATGGAAGGAGACTTGACTTGGGGTGGTGAACACACAATAAAATATACAGATGCTATATTATAAAATTGTACACCTGAAAGCTATATAATTTTATTAACCAATGCCCCCCAATAAATTCAATCAATCAATATATATATAAAAGCCTAATATGCTAATTGTCCCTCCGACTGTTCGACCAGTTGCTATGACACACACTGACCACCGGGGACAGATGCTCCGACTGGTAGGTTAGCTTGCTGCTGGGGTCCAGCTGATTGGGACTGGGCGAGATAGGGTGGACACACCCTGGAGCCCTCCTGCAGCCCTCGGTGGGGTCACCGAGGGGTCCCTCAGTGGCGATTATGCACCGGTGGGGTCCCTTGACCTGGCTTGCGCCCTCTCACAATCCAGGACCCCTCAGGGGATGTCAGAGAGCAAGTTTTGGCCTGATCCCCGCAGGCCAGGCTGAGGGACCCCACCAGTGCACGGGGCCTCAAGTAAATAAACAAAATCTTGCCATTTGCAACAACATGGATGGACTTTGAGAGCATGCTAAGTGAAATAAGTCAGAGAAAGACAAATGCGGTATAACCCCACCTATATATGGAATCTCAAACCAAAACCAAAAGCTGAGCGCACAGACAGAACAGATTGTGCATGTCAGAGGCAGGGATGGGGGTGGACAAAATGGGGGAAAGGGTCAAAAGGTAAAAATTTCCAATTGTAAAATAAAATATAAATAAGTCTTGGCATGTAATACACAGCGTGGTAACTATAGTTAATGATTCTGTACTGCACATCTGAAAGTTGCTTAGAGAATAGATCTTAAAAGTTCTTGTCACAAGAAAAAAATTGTAACAATGGGGTGACAGATGTTAACTAGACTTACTGTGGTGATTATTTTGAGATATATATATATATATATCGCATATCATTATACTGTGCACCTAAAGCTAACATGTTATATGTCAATTATAACCTCAATATAAAAAATGTATATACAATCTGTATATTTAGGTTTTGATAGGGTTCTCCCAAAATCATTTTCCTAACCTAATGAAACAAATGACCAATTTCTAGGGTCTACTAGACTCTAGAGTAAGTTTCAGGAAAGCTGCAATCTACTGGTAAATACCCTCATCTGCAATCTGAACACACTGTAGAGAGCAACACATGTAACGTCTTGCACCAAGAACTTTCCAGGAATCTGACAAGAATCAGTCAGATCAGAGCATGCCACCCACATTGAATGGAAAAGCTGCATGTAGCATTTTTTCCCCATTTTCAGTTTATAAGACACTAATGGACTATTTAATACCAGTGGATAAGAACACAAGTCAATGAAACATTTCAAAACAAGCGATGTGTTAAACAAGAAACAAGCACAAAAGGACTTATATGAAAATGGAAACAAACAAGTTGTTGGAAAAAATTGTACTGCTAAAAAAGCTCCCCTCATAAACATATATCAAAGGACAGAACTGCCAAAGGTACAGTGGCCCTGACAGCTTTCAGAATGTGACTCAGATGGGAGCCAACAGGGTTAGGCTACCCCCAGGACACAGGCCTGGTGACCAGGGTCCTCACGCGCCAGGTAGCCTTCAGGGGTGACAGGCATATCTTGTCATCTCCTATCACCTCACACTCATTCCCGTGGAAGGAACGTCAGATGTATCTGACCAGCAATAACTGCTTTCCTCCTGCCGTGGACAGGCCGGGGCCATGTGTCCTGGTGAATCACTGAGCTTGCCTCCTCCCTGCCTTCCTTACAACAGCATTTGGAAATTACCAGAGTAAGAAATACAGCAAGCATGGGATAAAACGCAGGAAAGGAAAACTATACACTTGGAAACCATGTACATATATCATCCAGAATTCAGGTCAGGATGAGCAGTTTTGAAAGGAAAGCAGTGCTAATTAAGTAATGCAAGTAAAGGAATTTCCTCTGATTTGTTTCCCAAGTATCTCTCTTCACATATAGAATTCCTGTAACATTTGGGTAGCTATGGTTTATGGAATGAATGAATATAAATATATATATATACCACCACCTGTAAAATCACAGATGGGTAGCTAACCATGGGCGGCTTCTACTAAACCCTAACAACCAACCCTACGAAGAAACCATTCCGCCCTCTTCTCCACAACGGATTGAGGTTACACAGAGCACAGCGCTAACTGGCTACTGTGGCCCCGTGGGCTTTCACTTCTGCCGCCTGCACTTGCTCATCACCCAGCCCCGACTAGCGCTGTGAACAAATGCATTTAGAGACATTTCCATGAGTGACAAATGTCCAGTAGACTAATCATAGGCTCTCAACTGTTAGACATACAGGGCTTTATAAGGCTAAACCGTGAAGGTCTTAAGTGTGCACTGTTTTCCATATTATCCTGAGATAAGTAAGACTCGTGCTGAGTTAGAAAAGGGCATTCTCCAGCCCTAGAAGCGGACACCTGTTACCTCACTATCTGTATTTTCACACAGGCTGGAAGGGAGGGTCGCTGTGCAAAGGATGTGAGCCTTTCCTGTGTGGGCAGCCCACCGTGGGGCCAGGGAGAAGGACACCACACTTAGTCACCAAAGGGCCAAGGAGAGGTGGGAGAGAAACAGAAGAGGCAAAACAAAAGGGCAGCAGAGGGAGGCTTTGCAGATGAGGCAAACTTCACTGTTAACCATTTTGCCTATTTCCTATCATTAGTCACTAGACAAACAGTGAACACAAAGGTATTTTCACTCAGAGGAACGATGTAGCGTCCTAAAAAGCTAGACCACTGCCCCTCACAATGAAAAAAGCTGTATTTGCTTGTCCTTTTCCCATATTTGGCTTCCTTACGAAAGGAGCTTCATTCCAAAGGGAAATAAAAAAGGGGGGTGCTTTCAGAGCACATCATTTCCTTCTGAGCAGCCAGGACTGGCCTCCTCAGTGTGCTCTGCACGCTGATGTATGTATGTATGTATGTATGTATGTATGTATTAAAGACAGACATAAGGGACAAAGTCTAGTTGAACTACATGTAGCACCCATTTTTTTATGCCAAAAATTTTCCCTAAGTAAAACTGATCCCCAAAGAGAATAAGGAAACGTGAACCCTCCCCCCCAACAACAAAAAAATTGGGGGGGGGTGTGAACAGAGCAGAATCACCTGTTTTTTTTAAACCACACACACTGCAGATTCTGACACGCCCCCTAGGAAGCTGCAGCTCTTCCCAGCCGGCCAAGGAAGGGGGCGCAGCACCCGGTCTTTCCAGTGTGAAAAGCCGAGAAAGAAAAGCCGAGGGCCACAGACCTAGAGGGAAGGATGTCTCTCGGAAGGCCGGCATCTACCCACAGCTGCACTATCCAAGCTGGAACACAGGTCATAAGGCGTCATTGTAAGTGGCCACAACCCAAAAGAAACCAAAAAAGAAAGTTCAAGAACACGAGATAACATTCACTGGGGGTTATTAGTAACAGCAGCCTTAAGGAGGGATGGCCAAGTGATGGTGGCTGGTTTTTTTATTACTGCTAAGAGTAATAATCAACAACTCAATGTACGAGACTGGCTCTAGGCTTATCAATCAGTCATACAGAAGAGACAACATGACGCCCCCCCTGCCAGCAGAGGCTCCTAAGTCAGAGGAAGCAACGACCCGCCAGAGGCTGTACCAGCAACGCAGCAGCCAGAGAACACAGTGATTCAAGTAAGTCAAATTCTTCACTTACCATTTGTTAGTCTATCAAATAGAAAGATATCAAAATTCCAATTTCCAACTTTTCCCAGCATACACTGAAATGAAAACCAAACATTCCTACTGTAATTTAATTTCAATAACACTATCTTTAGTAGATGGTTCATAGAAAAGTTAATGAAAATGGAAAGTGATTGATTTACTCTAAGAAATGCTATATATCATTATCCTTTTAATCATTACCTTTCCAACTGGTTCCAAAAAATGTATAAAAAGATAAACTCAATTTGAAAAACCAAATATTATTGTTTTCCAATGAATAAATGTATAAGTAATGTTAGTGTTTTTTAAAACTTACTCTATTCTGCCACAAACTTTTAAGAATTCTACCATAATTTACATCAAAGAAGTATGGTTCTTACGTTGCATGGTCTAGAAACTAGATTTTAAAAGTTTAGTAAAACTAAATTATAATAACTGAGTACTTACTATACCAGGTACTGTTAAAGTACTTCATACTCTTACTATTCACACCAACACTATCGAGTAGGCACTGTTTTCAATCCTCATTTATAGATGGGGAAACAAGCAAAAAGTAACTAACTTGCTCTGCTAAAAATAATAGAGCTGGGGTCTTAAATCAGGTGGCCTGATTCTGGAACCTGGGCACCTGACATCTATACTATGTTAAGCTTAAATTGTTACTCATTTTTTTAGAAAACACTCCCAATTATGGGTATTTATTTATATTCTTTAAATATCCTTATAAAACAATAGCATTTACTACATTAGTTTTCAGATTGATGTGTATTTCAGCCAAACAAATAAATACCACAATGACTTTAAAAACCAAGTAGATTCTATTTTTACACGATATATTTGTAACATGAAAGTTCTGCAAACTTTATTTTTAAGAAAAAAAATATGATTTTGTTTCCAAAAGTTCATTGTTGTATACATTTATAAATAGATTAACATAAGCAATACTAAGACACCACTAGTAGAGATTATAATAGTACCAACAACCAATCATACACAAATCAACATTCTCATTCCAAAAAGACGACCTTGCAAACTTTTTAAAGTTTAAAGAAAGCATGAACACTTTCCACTGATTTCTTTTATCAAAGAGAGAAGCAAGTTTTTTCACTTTAATGTTATCATAAAGGTACTCCAGCCCTATCTACACAAACTTACAAAATCCTGTGTGTGTGTGTGTATGTATGTATGTGTGCGTGTGTGTGCGTGTGTGTGTGTATATATATATATAGTGTGTGTGTGTGTATATATATATAATTCTAAAAATATAGAAGCATAAGATTAAAAATCCTCATTTGCTAAAAAAAAAAGTTCATCTAACTTCCACCTTCATTAAGACATTTCTTTTAAAACATGTAAAGAAAATAATGCTCAAAATCACTGAGTTTAATTAAGAAACATCTAAGTCCTCAAAATAATCCACTGATTCAAGAGACTATGTATGAAAATCATTTGACTGAAAGTCACGAGACTAACTTTCTGTGCTGATTTACCTCTAATCAGAGCTCAAATAAGTCCCTTTTGCTCCTTAGGCCATAGTTCACTTATCTATTGAATATAGAAATTAGGTCAGATAATGCATAATATTCTTCCCAGCGATAAGAATATTGTGATCTTATAGTTTAATGTTCTACTGCTCTACTTGTTAATGTTATAATAAATAAAAAGCATTTTCATTTATTTAGTTCAGAAATTTCCCTTGCTCTGTAATACCTAATCATAAAATGAACGAACAACTGCTCTAAAGGAAAAACCTGAAAAATGGACTCAACTGATTTTCACGTACAAAAAAAGGCTCTATAAATCAGTATCAGATGAGAAAAGAAGGCTTCATTAAACTTATCAAAAGGGTAATGTTTCTTGAAAAAGCTATACACACCTTGGCTTGTCCATTATAATCATCATCTAAAATGTTCAGAGAGTTTGAAACAGTTGCACCACGAAAAAAACGTGATGATCTAAGATACCGCTGGAAACTTAGTAACCTTCTGATATTCCTTGCAGACACTGAAACTTCAATTTCAGATTGAGCTGAAATAAAAGAAGTAAAAGGTGAGTACAGCAAGTCAAAACTGTGCATGTACTATCTTGTAATACCTCTTTTCGAGCTATATACAAATAAAGATTTAAAATGTTAGCCATTATACCACACTTCTAGGAGAAAAGAGGTACTTTACTTGTATTCCTATTAAAGAACTAAAAATGAAGGGGTAAATGGCCAATTTTGACAGCATTTAGAAAGTTAATAATGAGGAGTGAGGCTCCATTAATAATCAGCTTTTTTTAAACTTCCAAGAATTATCATTTCTCACTCTATTGCCTCAATATACTAAATACACATGGAACAGAAACACAAAACCTAGTTTGAAACTATGCTTCATACTAAGAAGCCGGGTCCCAAGTTATATCAGAGACTTTAACAATTAAAACATCTCAAATCCCAAGGAGGTATCATTTTAAATATTTCCTCGAGGTAATTTTATTCAGAGGAAAAGGAAATGGAATGGAGAATAAAGCAGTTTACGTCCTGTGAGAGAGAGTTCTAAAACATAGGGATAAAAATTCTGTATGATGAAAACCCAAAAGAGACGTGGTTCCACGCTGGAGACTGATATGTTCTCTGTTAGTGAGTCTAGCAGCCATTTTAGAATAAACCAAACTTTGAGTAATAGATTGAACAACAGACTTGTGTTAAAAGCTCTATTTTTTTTTACATTAAAAAAAAACTTTACTGAAGAGAGAGAGAGAGAGAGAGAGAGAGAGAGAGAGAGAGAGAGAGAGAGAAAGAGAGAGAGAGAGAAGAGATAGATTTGTTGTCCCACTTATTTATGCATTCACTGGTTGATTCTTGTATGTGCCCTGACCAGTGATCAAATTCACAACCTTGGCTTATCGGGACAACACTCGAACCAAATGAGCTACCCAGCCAGGGCCTAAAAGCTATCTTGTAGGGGATATATGTTATTTTTAAATTCTAAATTGAGTGAAATGTTCACAATATAAAACACATGAAAATGAAGAGTAAGGATAAGCAAATCATAATCTCTCATCTTAACTTCCATGAACTTAGAATCACCAGGTGGAAAGGCAGGTAATCAAATATATCCTCTTCTTGTGGGTCCAGTCACTAACTCCTCTATTACCCTGCATTTTCTTTTCAACAAAATATGGCGATAATATCGAACTCAAAGGGTGCTGGATTAAATGAGATAACGTGTACACAAGTCACCTACAGGAAGTACTAAATAAATAGTGGCAATGTAGATGATGATAAAATCGATGCTGATGTCACTACTTACAGTTATGCTTCTAGGTATTATCCTAAGCTCCAAATCTGTTCATGTTGCTCTAAATAAAAGTATTCACTGGCTCCCAATTATCTTAAAATGAACTCTATCTCTTAGCCTGGAAGAAAAGGGTCCAGGGCCCAGGTCTGGCTTGCTCCAGATGTGACTCGGGTGTCACCTTCCCTGGGAAGCACACCTGAACTCCCACCTCCACACGCACTCTCTCCTGAGAGCGAGGGGAAGCACCTCCTCTGGGCTCTCCAAGTTTCCTGCACACACACACCTGTCAGACACTCCTGATCTCGTATTGTAATTGCTTACTGACCTGTCTCCTTTGACAAACCACAACCTCCAATACAGGCACAAACTATTTTTTTCATCTCTGTATTCCAAAGCTACATAATAGTGCCAAGTAGGTATAGGTGAAATATATTGAATAAATGTGGAATAAATGCATACTGTGTTTGAAACATTCCGTCCACTCACATAAGCCAGAAATAAAATAATGCACACTGTTCTGTGGTTCATTTCCCTTATTTTTTATTCCAGTGAGTCTAAAATCCAAAGAATCTAGAACAGTAGTAGAGTTAAATTTTGATCTTTAACAATGTAACATATTAAAAGGACTGGAACCAAAATGTAAAACTATTACTATCAAGTGATTATGTTTGAACTAGAAGTAGCACCTTTGAGGAAATGAGGGCAGACCAAGTTCAGTGAAAGCAATGATCCAAGGGCTTTACAACCAGTATCTCATTTAGCTCTCAACAATCTCAAAATATTACTATCTTCCACTTTACACATGAGAACACTAACTCTGAGAGAGATTGAGTAATCTGCCCAAGGTCACACAGCCAATTCAGGATGACAACTGGATTTATTTTTTTGGACAACTGGATTTTAAAATACAGATCTGTCTGTTTAAAAAGACTGTGTCCACAGTAGTACTCATACGTTTTTTAAATCTTGAAAAGTATTGTTTGTTAACTGTTTATTATAAAAATCCTATGTACACCATCATTCAAAATTGTCCTTATTTAGATGACAGTATGTGCAAAAAAAGAAGCAGAGAGGAAAAAGATGATGTATGAAATGCACGTCTTTAATGTGACCCTACCTGGAAGGGTCAGAGAGGAAGGAAATGAGTATGTGGGGAGCAGACTAGATCTAATTTATACAATACCAGCACCATCATCCCTGAATTATAAGGTACTTCACAGTTTTACAAAATGTTGCAGAAGACACGTATTCTATTCATTAAGGAAAAGTAACCTAAAAGAGTTCAAGGTCATGAGCATCCCTTCAATTTATCTTACACACAAAAGATAACAATTTTATCATTAGCAATTTATCACATCATGTGCGCATGCAAATATACACTAATAGTAGAACCACTGCTTTCAAATGATTGGTCCAAACTAATACATCTTCAAGTAAATTTGAGAATCTCTTTGAGAGGACAATTGCATAAGATCCAAAACAATGAATGAGCCTCATTTGAGGGGAAAACCCCAACCACTCAACCCTCCATGGTAAGTCCCCGTAGCAACATGGCAGGATTCACACGTCCAAGGTGAAGACAGCTGGCATTGACTGGAAGTTGGGACTCTTCCCACACGATCATAGTTGTATCCTCCCACTGCCTTACTCCTATTTTCAGGGTGACTTCTGACAAGTCACAACTTCCAGATGTTTCATTTTCCTTAACTGAAAAAAACTAACCATAACTCATGTCCTTTTCCTGTTTCACAGAGCCCTGAGATTGGCACTAATTATCAAGAGTTCTGTTTTGACCATATTAAGTTGAGAATGAATATTAGACATTAACGTAAGGGGAAGTGCTCCCTCATCACAGGAGCCCAATGCCTTTCAGCAAGACTAACTCAAAAAACAGCCTATACAACAGGATAAACAGACGTTCACTTAATGATAGAAGCGCCCGAACAATTAGTGGTTACTTCAGAGACAATCTAAGGAAGGGCAGAGAACTGTCCAGGTGAAACAGCAAATCATCCGGGGGAAGTGTTTTCTTCACCTGGGGCCTGAGGAGCCTGTCCCTGAAAATATCACATTCTGCAAAGAACCGAAAATCCCACGGGACCTGGCAATTAAAACTACCACAAAGCACCGCCCAAGGCTTAACACGGGACCGGAACCCGGGGGAGAGAGAGGAGTGTTTGATTTTTTTCACCAATCTAATTTTTGAACATATAATTCACATGTTTCAAAAAATAAGCAAGAAAGGAAGAGGGAGGAAGAAAAGAACACTGTAAAAAACCTCACTCTTATCAGGTCCCCCATCCAACTGACTGTAAGCCCTCCTGTAAAATGATAATCTTTTTTTCCCCCCCAAAGCTTCTTGTGTATCCTGAGTTTTTTGATCAAACATATGGAAACATCATTATATAATACTAGTGGCCCGGTGCACAAAATTCATGCACATTAAAAGGGAATTAATTAGAGGAAATATTTTAATATTGCTATTTGCCCTTTCTCTATAATAGAAGTGTCAGAGATGAAAGAAAATTAGTAAAATGTATATGAAAATCTCCCTCCTGTCAGAGTCTGAGGCGCACCGTGGGACCCAGAGTTAAGTCTCCGCCCACCCACAAGCACCTCGAAATCTCGTGAGACCCAGACCCGGCCGGCCCCACCCGTCAAGCCCCGCCAGGTGGTGGTGGGGGGGGGGGGCGTGGCCTCAGGTCCCCCGGCCCGGCACAAGGGCACGAGGGCGTGATGACCATTTGCATATTAGCTCTTTATTATATAGGATTTTTCTACTACTTTTACATAAATGATAGCATAGTATACAACCTATTCTGCGTCTTGCTTTTTAATTTATCTTGAAGCTATTTCCCGGAATGCCTTCTTCTTTTTTTAAGACTATAAAGTATTCCATCAAATGAATGAACCATAGTCTAATCAACCAGTCCTCTACTGAAGGGCACTGGTACAACATTACAATTTGCAAAAATACCTTCATTTTGTTAAATAAGCGTACAGTTCTACTACTTGTTTAACAGCTTTAGATATCATTCTTTAATGTGAGGAAATCGCCTTATCATCTTCTTTCCCTCTTCCTCTTCCAATGTTTGTTAGTTATCAGAGCACTTTTGTTTTCTTCCACTCTAAAGCCCACTTTAATTTTAGGTTCAGCTCTAGAACTAAATACATTCAATATTCGAATCCTTTTGCCGTGGCTTCCCCAGTTATCTTTTGTTTGGTTAAGTTCATCCTTTAGTAGTTTCTTCAAGAAGGGCTCATGAAAACAACATATCTCATAAACAATATATTCTTGAATGCTCAAAGCTTTTCTTGGTAGCCTTTGTACTGGAAGAACAGACTGAATATAAATATTCAATATAAAATTCATGGTTCTCATTTTTCTCCTCTGAGTTTATTTGAAGGTATTGGTTCACTGTCTTCTTGTATTGAGATGCAAATCGGAGGCAGGCCCATCACATTCCCCTCATAAGTGACTTGGTCTTTTTGCAGGGCCACCCACAGCATCTCTCTGTCTCTTTCACGTCCAGTGGCTTTGCTGGGCTGGACCTCACGTTAACTGTTCTTGGTCATTATCCCACGGTACACAGTGTGCTTTTTCAAAGTGCAAATTTAAGTGTTATTTCTAAAACGTTTTCTTGAATTATATCTCTAAATATTTATTTAGTTCCACTATTTTGGCTTATTATTCAGAGACTCTAAAGTGTTATCTTGAAACCCCTTTGCCTGTCTGCTATCTCA